GAGGCTTGCATATGTGTAATGTCTGGGACTATGTATATAACATGGAGTGTGCTATAGAGTATGTTTCATGGTATGAATGCTGTGCTGACAGCCTAATCCTATACATGATAACAAGTTCTATGTTGAGTTGTGCCCTCAAATATAAGTCAGCTATCATGGTGATTTTGCAGCTATAGAGGTGTGTAATGCTTGAGTTGAGAACTATGAGCTATAAATAAAGGATTGTCATCTTATTTGAGTCTCCCCTAAATGAGTAGTGCTAAAATAGCGCAAAATAGTACTACAGTAGTGCAAAATAGCGAAAAATTAGAGGACCACATTTGCAGTAGTGCTATAGTAGTATCATGTTGGCACTACATGGCACTATAGAAAAAGCGATAGTGAAGAGTAGTTATAACTAGTACCAAGTATACTAATTAGTGCTTAGTTGCACTACTGAAGAAGTGCGTCTGAATAGTAGCTCTAATGTAGATGTTATCTCTGCTAACACTTGCTAATATAGATGAGATTATCTTAATAGTGATAATTAGTGTCAATTCGCAAAGGCTGTTTTTCCAGATGGAGAGGGTGAGTGGGTAGAGTCGTCATATGTCAAACGCTAGGGAACTTCCCTTCTAGATACAGGCTTCTCATACTAAATGGTAGCTAGAGTACATATAAAGGAACAAACGAATAGAGAACAGAAAGAGAGAAAGAAACTGAGTGGTGAAAGCCACATCGTCCAAAGAACGTTGGTGTTAGCGCGACAAAGCGCTTTGTTCGACCTAATCGGATATGTCAGGCGCCGGCCCTTACACCCGTGTTCCACGATTGGGCTGGCTTCTACACCCTGCAACCTGACCTGCAGCCCCCTGCCACCCCTCATCACTGCGGCGGCCGATGCATAGACGGGGAGGCAGGGAGGCGGGGAGGCGGGGAGGTGGGGAGGCAGGGAGGAGGATTGAGGACGAGGAGGGTGCTCGGGAGTCGGGAGAGGGAGATATTGGTAAGGAGCGCCAAGGAGGAGGCGGCTGTGCCAGTATAGCGGAGCGCTTTGCAAAGTTCCGATGTATTCGCAGTATCTCTAATGACGATTCAGTGGTCAGAAGCGATAGCACGAGGTGAATACCTACCTACCATTACGGGGATCTGTCCACGCAGATGCTCAATGGCCGGAGTCTGTCGGGCGAGATGGGAGTTGGCCAGAATGAGTAGGCGCTTGCGGTTCCTGGAAAGGGTAGGCCAGTTTCGGGCGCCGTGGCCATGCAATACCATTGTTTGCACAATTTGCTGATGAGCGACGCATACAAACTGTATGTCGGCATTCCCCGGGACTGCATCCTCCATCTCTCCACTCGCCTCCATTGGGACGAGGCCGAGCCTCACGCTCAGCCTTTCGAGCCTCCGGCTCTTCCCTTCGCTCCTCCTTTGGCTCGGCCCCTCCCGGTCGTGCAAGAGAGCGGTGGCGACGCGAGTCGGATGACTCGTCCGGCACTGCGCCTTGACAATGTCATCCCCCTTTCGCCCTGCCCGACTCACGCGTGATTAGACCAAAATTAATGTTACATATCTCGGGGGGCGCGGTGGCGTAGCGGTACCATCGAGCAACTCGATAAAACCCAGTGTCCAGAAGTGCAGAAAGCACTAGGTTCGAGACCGTCCCCGGGAATTAGCCTTCCCGCTTACCGCTAGGGGGTTTTAGTGGGTATGGCCGGTTGGTTCGCGCCGGAGGAGTCCCACACTATTTCCAGAGCACGGCTGCACCCGAGGCTCTGGGAATGTGCGTAAACGCATTTCCTCCTCGGGTTGGTGCTCAAATCTGCGGGGTTTAAACCCCCTGCAACATGGCTGATTCGGGGGAATTTCACCTGATTTGGTCATTAGCGTTGCCTAGTACGTCTACCAGACATGCCTCTTGTATGGACCACCGTAGACAAGGCAATAAAAAGCGCTCAACCTGAATGTTACATATCTCCTATGCATTACATTGTCCCCAAGACTTAAGTAGTGTCTACGACTGAGCCTTCTTCCGCTTATCCAGTGTGGGCTGGGACAACTCAATAGTACCCCCTGCAGCCTCAGCAACTGCATCATCCCCCCTATCAATCCTACTCTTCGCGTCCAAGAAGAACATCACATCTCGAACCTGGTCCTGAAGTTCCTGCACCTTTTCCCGTAATTCCGCTGTCTCCCGTGAGGCAGCCTCAGCCTGCTCCTTCGCCTTCGCAAGGTTCTTCATCAGCCCTTCGCTGACCGCTCGTTCTTCTCTCAGCTCCCTCGCCAGGGTTCGAGCAAGCTCGGATGCTTTCTCCGCACGTTTGTCCGCCTTAGCTCTCTCCCGTTCTAGCTCCAGAATACGCGCATCGTCCTGACGGGCCCGCTGCTCCTGGTCTTCTCGCGCTCTCGATCGCGTTGATTCGACTTCGGCGCTGAGTTGTTCTACAAGGGTACGCATAGCATCTAGCTGTTTGCGCAGTTCCGTGGTTTGTTCCTCATAAAAGGTCCGCTGCGAGTCAAGCTGAGAGGTGAGGAGGTACGAATACTCTATACCAATCGCCTCTATTTTCTCGGCTGAGAGTGCGTCCGCAGCTGTAGGCCCTCCGCCTGCACCTTCGCTACGCGCTCCGACGGCCGCAGCAGCCGATGGAAGCTCAACGAGCTTGCCGTCAGCTTTGTTTTGTATCAGTCGGTGAACATATCCATCTCCGGCGTAGTCCCAGACTCTCTGCGTCTCCAGTTCAAGGGCATACAGATGGGTCGTTGAGACGTAGTGCGCGTGCGCGTGCGCTCGGCCGTATCGACCGCAGCCGATGTTACCGCAGATGAGACAGATCCACAAGTTTGTAGTGCTTCCGCAATCAACACAGTGTGTGCGCTCGTTGGGAGATGAAGCCGAAGAAAATGGGATTGGGCGCGTCATCCGCGAAGTACTAGAGGAGGTAGGATGGGACGAGAGCAACGTTTGAGAGTATCGGCAAACCGGACACCTGCAAGGCAAAAGGCCATACGTGAGGAAATGATAATCACGAAGAGTCATGGAGCTGTACTCCTACCTGCTGTCGCCCCATTTACTGAGACAAGCGCAATGGAAAGTATGCGAACAGGGTACCGTGACCAGCCCCGTGACCGCCGCATCCATGCGTTCGAGGCAGACAGGGCAAGTCGGCAACTCGTATGTTCCGGAGACTCGTGTGGACGATAGGCGAGAGATGTTTTGTGAGACGTGGTCATCGACTTCTACTGCGACCGAGAGCACACGAACGACATGACAAGCCTCTGGCTGAGGTTTGCGACAGCTACTGAGTGAAGGTCGCAGTATTCGGGAAAAGATGAACGCATACCTCCAGTGAATTGAATTGCTTCCCATTGTATTCCTCTGCAAACTCTACCGCGTGAGACGTCTCCCGGAATTTCATGACGACGATCGACCTATTCGGAGCCGAGTCCCTGTGTCATGCGTCTCTAAGCAACCTGCATCCACGAAAGTCTACAAGAATGACAAACCTGATCATTCGTAGATGAGCGATGCCATCCGCAGCTGGGGACACGAAAGTGAGAAAGTCCGAAGGTGTCATCCATGAAGGAACCGCAAGCACGGCAAGGGTCAGGTCGTCTGACTCTATCGCCGGCTGGATTGTAGTTCTGGAGTCATCAGGACGTGTCGAGACAGCGACCGCGGTAGCATAGGATCCATTCTTGGACATTTCGTTCGACGGCTTCGAGTATTCCCGGAAGATGTGCACAACGCCTTCAGGTAGATTAGTTGAACCAGACTTGTGGTGCGCGTTGTTGTGAGGTACGAACGTCGCTTTGGCTGGTTCACCTGGCATGACATCAAATGTAAGAGATCTTTTAGACAACATATTCCAAGAAGGGGTCACATACTCGTGTGCTGTGCTGACTTTTCACGCTCCTTCCCGGACCCTACAGTCACAAATCCACTCTCCATGTCGGTGAAGTCGACCCAATCGACGCGGATAGGACCGAGGCGATAATCTTTGTGAGAGATGTCTTGGCTTTGGGACAATGACGAGCTGCTGTACACCGATAGCGTGTTCCTCCGAGAAGCAAAGCGCTGCGAGTGCGCAGGGAGCGATTGAAAGAGAGAGATGGGGATGAAAGTCTGAGATTCGTTGAGAACGCTGGAGAATTTCTTATAGGACGTCGATGTTGTCGGTGACGGGGATACTGAAGTAACGGCAGGAGGGCTCAAGACGATGCGGATGTGATAGCCCCTCATGGCACAGACATGTCTCGCGAAGTCGGCAATGGGATGGTGGTTCGGTAAAGCTGAGTCCCGTTCAGTGCATAGCGTATTTACATAATCAGACGCTGGCGGTGGCACTCGAGTACTGCACCCCACTGTCCACCGACCTTGAATATACTCTCCATGTTGCGAACGTTCATGACCGGTGCCGCCTCCTGTGCTCCAGCAATCCCCGTTGGCTCTACAAAGCCTATAATTCCGTTAACTGAGCCGTTTACCCGTCGAACGTGCAACGCTATTCAAGATGCACTTCGATCATCCTTCTCGCAGTCCGAGAACGCGGATGACCGGTCAGAACCAACTGCGGCGGTTCTAATTCCTCTTTGCAATGTAAACGGGCAACCTGGACTCCTTCTCGAGGTTAGGGGAAAGCTGAGGACGCATTCTGGGGAAGTAAGGTATGTCGTTTGGCGTACCAATGCTCCCAGTGCTGGAGAACCCATATGAGTCGGCGAAGCTTTCCGGGAGGAAAGCTCGATGAGGTCTGTCCCATATCAACTGAATCTCTTGGTGCCAGCTTGGTGACAAGTTCGTTCCATCTTCATGAGTAGACAGACTCCACGCCTCTAGCTGCTGCACTAAGAGAAACCCGAGAAGAAGTGGGTATCCATTCTAATCAAATTGAGATTTTGGGTCGCCTTGCCCCCCCGGAGAATTCTCTCAGTGGTATGAGAGTATGGCCTTATGTTGTGCGTATTTTCCGGAATACGCATTCGTCGCATACAGGCTCATCGACATCATCCCGTTGCGGTATAGGGATTCGTGTACCCCCCTGAGACCAGATTTGACAAGGAATCCGATACCCATAACTCAAATGCACACAACGCAGCGCCGCTCCCCTCCTTACCACTTTCCTCGTTGACACTGTCGCGTCAAGAAGTCGCACATGTGTTCCACCTCCCCCTTGCCGCCGCTGTATCGCCGACGCGTCTGCATTCCTACCTCTTCCGAGGGGCCCGGCCATATCATGCTGTCAGCGTCGCAGATTTGATTGCAGGGCCGGGCGCGGTGCATTCGGACCAGGGTCCAGGCGATCAAGCGGAGGTTCGGTGGATTGTCGACCCCGAACAAAGAGACGAGGTTGGTGGTGGTAGGGAGGGCCGGTTAGAGGTCTGGGGGCTAACAGGGTGGTATCTCAACGTTTTCCTTCGAACCCTGGGGGTGTACGAATGAAAGCGATAGCCAACTACCGCCAACTCCAGTTGCCTCAGTGAATTGACCGAAGAGGGATAGCTCGGGCTCGGTGCCGTTCTTGTTCATATATGTTTAGACAGTGTGGCCAATAGACACGACGGCCTTTGTGCGATGCGAGTCATCGTCACCACCGCACATTTCTCCGTGACATCGTCGCTGTCTCCTTGGTGCGTGTCCTTGTGCTCCGTGACCTCCACTTTCTTCAAGAGCACCTTCACATTGAACACTATGGCGTACAGAGTATCGGACAACGACAGATTGTAGCGAACTCCTGTAGATCGGATATGCCCATGACGCCCACTGGCATCGATCTGTCATAGTCATGGAATGAAATTCCAACTCTGTGGGAGCAATGACCTGCAGCAAACTATGTACGATGTGTCCCAATCTCGACTCCTAATCGTACATCTATCCAGCTATCGACACAGAAGGACTCTGTTCCAGAAAGTCACTGGTGCTGTTCCTGACTGGGATCCGCTCACGTAGCAATCCTTTGGCAGTAGCCGAGGTTTGCACCGTTGCAGTCGTCGTTGCGACGTTCTGGACCTCCAAATCGTCGCCTTCGGGAACTGCCCGAAGACTATCCGGATCCCGCTTCTTGTCTTGCGCTGCTCGACTTCTGACGTCGCGCACGCCACGGAAGCGCTTTGGGTGGATGGCGGAAGCTTGGTTTCGCCGGTTTTCCCATATCAGATACAAGAGAGCCTCGGAGCTTGCCACCAAAATTGCTACCGACAACCCCAGTAGCACTTTCTAAGCGTCGAGATTGGGATTCGGAATACCGTCGCACGCAAGGCATCAATTGATACGGTGGTCGTCAGCGAGACCGGAAGATATGAACACGAACGAGAGGTGCGAAGTTGTGCGACGCACCCACTCATCTCTCCATGACAGACGACCTGCCGCCCACCACGTAGCTATCCCGGCACCGCCGACGCTGAGGAGCGCATTGACAACCGCAGTGACGGCACGTCGATCCCCCAATTCTCGAGTATGCGACGTTTGATCATCCGCAGAAGGGGTCGACAACGTAGGATATGTACGTTCTGGGTTGGTTCGGGTTCCGGCGAGCAGCGCAACCATGGAATAATCCTGTACACGAAGAGGGGGCTCGTGGCTACTCATTGCATGCTCTGCATCCGGGGTACGGGCCCATTTCGAGATGGCGGCAAGGAGGGCGTACGGTATGGTGCGTACCAGAGCATGCTTTGACAGCTCAACGTCAAGGGGTGTGCTGTGTGGTGTGTGGTGGGTGGGCTCAAGGACCTGTTTGAGTTCAGTCGCAAGAGAACTCGGGAGCAGCCCAAGGAGAGGGCGCAGCGAGTCGGCTAGGTGGCCCTCTAATGATATGTTGAGGCCAGAAGCGGCGGAGGTGGAAGCCATGGTGAGAGGACGTAGAAAGTATGCAATATGCGCAAGAAAGGACCGTGTGCGGCCGCAAACAATCCGGAGAGTCGCGGTCGCTGACGAGGAGCTACTTAGCTGGTGGCTGATGCCTATACCAAGCTGTAGGCGCCGGGGTGCGCAGGCAAAATCGATTGCAACTTTTCCTGTTACCACTATGCCGTCCTCACAAGACATTGCTCTCGCTGATTCTGTCTTCCTTGTATAACTGCTGACCCTGTCAAGCGCATCCAGGACAATATGGCCACCGGGGCGAGCGCCGATGTCCATAGAATTCAAGAGATCGCGAGCGCATTTGACCCGGATAGCTTAGCCTCCATCCGTGATATTAACCGCGTTCTCGACGAGTATTCAACTGTCCTTGCCCAAAGCGACCTTGTACGGTACGATGTCCCCGATTGTGAAGAATCCTACACGCAAACACACTTCCAGACAGAATATTGGCAATGCAACCAGTCCCTCTATGTGGCCTGTCCTGCACTCCCTGTGGCACTCTATTTCGACTGCCCATGTTGTGCCTGACCCGAGACCTGAACTCCCTGCGCTTCTGATGGAAACTTGCGTTAGCTTAGCAAAGTTCACTCGCAACCTTGTTGCCCAAAACCCTGCGAACCAAGTCAGAGCACTGTTCGTATTTCTACTCCCGCTCGTTTGCTGGGAGCTGATGAAGCAGGCGTCATTCAAAATTATCTCAGCGAAGTTGAGCCGGCGATTCGGAGCCTTGTTTTCCGTTATACGACTTATTCGGCCACCCAGGATCCTACCTGTTAGTCCAATATCGCTACATCCTGTTTCTGTTCCTAAATAGTTTCTAGCATATCCCATTACGCGTGTTCTCACTCAGACTTTGTCAAACATAGTCACGTCAAACGACTATGTGGCGCAAGCATTATGGACGACATATCTCAACCTTCCGGAGGAGCAGCTGATCCTCACGTACGTACACTGTCATGTCCAATGGCTGATCACACTGAACTCAACTTTCGGTCTCTTCTAGCCGGCTGTTTGCCTCTCCTGACGCTCAAACGGTTCTAGTAGCGTTCGTCTTCGTACTCAATTGCATTCATGAAAGCCGCCCAAGAATGTGGGTCCGAATGGCAAAGCGAGATGGCGACTGCTCATGTGCTAATCGTGGCAACTGTTTCAGAGAACAACTTGCAGGGAGCCCGAGAGGGCCCCGGACCTGTTTTGGGTTCTTGGACCGGATGGCTTCGCTCTTCGAAGCAGAAGAGTCAAGTGCGGAAGGGCGTGCTTTCGACTTAGGGTAGGTTCTGGAGACCATGATGACTACGCCATCGCTACCCTTTTCACTCACATTTGGCTGCAAACAGGTATGAGATATTCACCCGTGTAATAGAAGCAGGACTGGTCCCAACGTTGTACCGCTCATTGACCGTGTACGTCCCTATCGCACTTCGTGATCGTAGCGACTCCCGAGCGTAGCATCGACCTTTCATTCGGTGATTTTGGTCTCCGAATACGTCCTGACACTTTTGACAGAGAAGACGAACCTATCACGCCTCACCAGACTACCCTTCTGAAGATGGTCGATTCGTTTCTACATAATTCGGAATCCGCCTATGAGCTGTCGTCAAGGCGACACGATCCAGATGGGCGTTACCTGCTTGACATGTTGACGGAACGATTCCTTGCCCTGTCGAGATATACGCAAGATTCCATACAGCGCGCTCTCGGGTCTCCAGGTAAGGGTTCGCCGGACACAGGGCTTACATTTTTTTCGTTCACGAGTCTCCTACCCATTACTCCGCAGACACCCATTCCAATGAATCGGCTCCATTGCAGGAGCTTGACCTTCTCTTACCCAAAGTCTGTGAAGCATTGGTACTCGTCACACAATGCCTGACGACAATCACGTTGCGGGCTGAGGAGACCGCTACTGCGCGCTCATTGCCGTCGAGGACTGACGACGAGGTCGCGGCGCATCTGTCCTCCAATCCACTAATAGTAATCTCGGCCATGTTCTTGGATCATGGTGTTGTCGATAGCCTGGTTGGTGAGTGTCTAGCTTGACATTGCTCTCGTAACTGTACTCATGGTCGGCACTACCCACTACCCCTCCGTTGCAACACGGTCTTGGGGTTCCGCATATACTAACAGAGACGCTGCGGCTCGTTGATACCTTCGTTCCCAGAATAACATACGGGAAAGTTGTTCGTAGAACCACTGCGCCGAACCAGCAGGAGTCCCACAGTACGAGCGAGGCCGCAAGTTCAGACGGCACTCGTAGCATGAGCCCGAACCCTGAGCTCATCCGTGCAGCGCAAGCATTCGCCCATGTAAAGCGCGATTTAGTACGTCTACTCGGTATCGTGGCATCGCAAAACCGGGCTGTTCAAGACCGTGTGCGGGAATCTGGCGGCCTCCCTGTTGTTATGAACCTGTGCGTAGTCGACGACTACAACCCTTGTGAGTCTTCATCTCATCGACCAATGCGCCACATTGGGGGTCCATGCTGAACTGCGGTCTTGTTGCATTCACCTAGACCTCAGGGAGCACGCAATCTTCGCGCTCAGGAATTTGCTCAGCGGGAATCCAGAAAGTCAGGCAGTGGTCGATGCCATCCAGCCTGTGGGGAAATGGAATGAGGACAAGGTTCTGCAAGAGCTTCGAAGCGTCAGGTGATGCTAGGTAGTTAAATGTGTGCACTATGAGCAAAAATTGTGTAGCGATCCATTGGCATGTCAGATTGAGCCATGTCCGCGGCACCTGATGACAACAGATAGAAAGCAGCTCCAGTAGTGCAAATGCGAGTAACTGAGATAAGCGGCGGGTGTTGCTTCTCCAGTGATACAATGAACAGGAGCTAAGGAAAAGCTACTCTTCTTCCTCTTCTTCAAACCCGACCGCACGCCTCTTTCTACCGCCGGATGTCCCACGTCCACGACGAACGCCAACGTCGTCGTCGTCCTCGGACTCTACGTCCATCGCATCTTCTCCGCCGGCGGCCGCATCCGCATCCTCGTCTTCGGCACCGTGGTCGCCGCTAGCATCCCGTTGACGCCGCTTGCGCAGCTCGGCCTCGTTTTGGCTGATCTTCGCCTCCAACTTTTCCAAATCATCCTCCTCATTCTCTTCGCGGGCCGACCGTTTCCGCTTTCGCCGAGTGGCCTCTCCATCGCCGAAATCGTCTTCTTCATCGGAGTCCGCCACGACGAAGTCGTCCGTCTGATACTCACCCGGCCCCTTCTTACCGTTTTCGTCCCTAGACGGCTTGCGTTTGCCCTTCCGCCCGGCGCCCTCATCGCCGTACTCGTCCTCAGAGCCGCCCCTGCCAAAGCCGGCGTCGTCGTCGTCGTCGTCGTCATCTGACCACATGTCGTCTCCTGTGCGTTTACGCGTGTAGCTGTGTCGCGGCCGGCGTGTGCCCCCGAAGCCGTCTTCCTCGCCTCTCGCACCCCCGCGCGACTTGCGGGGTTTCCGCGCCGCGGCTTTCGCGAGCTCGAGTTTCTCGCGTTCGGGGTCCATCGTGGGGTCTGGCGCCATGCGCAGTCGCGCGACGCGGGAGTGCTTTTGGCCCACGGCCCGTACGAGCATGCGGTGGGTCTCGGACTGCATGCCAGTAGGGCGGATGGACATGTAACCGGTGACGACAGCCTCGCATTGGAGGATTTCGGCGCGCTTGTGCTGAGCGACGAGATAGGTGAGACCCTGGGCGTGGCCCGCGCCAGAAACGGCAGTCTGAGACTGAGACTGTGACAAGGAGGGGATGGCTTGGGAGGATTGTGATTGCGAGAGAGGACCACTAGTGCTCCCGAGAGCTTGTCGGGAAACGGCGCCCGAAGTGTCAATGGACTGGGATATGTCGAATAACTCCTTTCCGAGCTGGAGAGACAGGGAACCGTCTGACCACCTAACGATTCGGCTGTTAGATTGCCTCCTCTGAAGGGTACATGGTATTTGCATTGTGCATGAGAAGCCGTCAGAATATATCCAAGGAGGGGGAGACATGGATCACGCATATGGGTGGGGCGACTGGGATACAACTACTCACGTCCTGGCCGAACTCGTCTTTGGACCATCGCCAGCGAACGGTATTTTCCACCTTGAGCTTTACGGACATGCTCTTCTCGCGAGAAAATTCTGGGTGCTGAGCGTCCTCGTCCTCTTGTTCTGGACCAATGTAGGTGTCGGGATGGAAGGGCTTGGAATCGAGCTTGATAAAGTTCGGCATGCGGATAACCCAATACTGTAAAGAAACATGAATGTCAACCGGCGAACGTGCTAGTAGGGGGATAGTTTAGGATAGAGTGGGTGCTTACGTTGCCGTCCGAGCTTCTGGGAACGGGGATATTGGGGATGGCGACATCTGCTTCTAACCTATGTTCGATGACGGGCTCTGGCTCGTCGTCCTCTGCGTACTCCAGTTGTTCTCTGTGGCGGCGCTCGGGAGACGACAGGCGTTCCTCGTGGTCTGCGTGTTCGGAAGCAGCAGATGAAGCCGGTCTCCTGGGGCGAGTGGATGAGTCCATAGATGGAATAGGCGGAGAGCAAGTAGAGGACGTACTCGTGTTCCACCATGGTCACGTCCTCATCTTCGCCAAATAGGTCTTCGAGTGCCTCCTTGTCGTCCTCTTGAGAATCTTCTCTGTCAAGGGTTGGTTGGCTATCGTCCATGTCGTCCTCAACCTTGGGAGAGGACATGGACGCGTCGTAGACATTGTGCGCGTCAAGGGCGCCGGCCAGGGAGGACATGTGAATAAATGCGCGAAAGTAAAGGCGAGCGGGGTCGGATGTACGATGGACGAGAGAGGAGATTGGGACGGTGGCTCGCAGTCGGCTACAATACTAGCGCCCGCGTTGCACACGGGCGCCTGTACCACGATGGAGAACAGGCGCCGAAGGGACACGCCTCGAGGCATTTGCACAAGGCTTGGTGGCACAAGGCTTGCTCCGTACGAGTGTACAAGCCCACATCGCCGCTCCCTCCGGCATCTCCGTCTCGCCTCAGTCGTCTTCAGCAGCTTCTACAACCCACATACACCTCTTCCTGCCCGCCGCCAAGCACTTCGCCTCCGTGGCCAATCAGTGCGCCTATCCAATACATACCTAACGTCGATGGAACTGTCGCCGCAGCGGTCCTGACAGCGTCGTCGCCTTCGCGCCGCTCCCACTTCCGCTCCATCCCTACTCGCTCTGTCAATAGCTCAGCGCCTCGTGCGCCACGTGTTGTGCTGGAACGCGGTCCCATCGCTACATCTCTACATGTGCTTCCTCTCATTGTCGCAGGGTCTCTCACCTGCCCGTTTGAAATGCTAGTCTGTTGACGACAAACCGTGTTTCGTGCCAACCCAGTCTTGTATGACTTGGCCGGGAATTAGCCTCTCAGGTCTAAGAAAGTCCTGAATTTGCCGCTTGGCAAAGAGTCGCCCTCAGAATCCGTCTCGTTCGACTTGCTGCCCCTCCACGTTCGGCGGACTTCATAGGCGACGTCTTGCTCAAGCTTTCCGCCGACTCAAGCATGGCTCTTATTTCTGGAAACTGCACGGGTTCGCGTCCAGTGCACACTGAGCGCGGCTGATGTTCTCGACAGAATGTGGACACACCGCCTCCGAGGACAACCCAGTCACGTCGGACGTCACCCTCTTCCCCCCCGGCTCCGGTGCGCCTGGCTGCGGCAGCATCCTTGAGTCACATCCGGCCGCCTTCATAAACTCGCGCATTTCTTGCTCTAGGCAAGTACATACACACGTCTGTGACCGCCAGTGACCCCACGTAATTAACATCCCGGCGAGAAGCAGATACAGGCGCACTTGCGTTCCAAGGACTCCCGACAGGCGACAGTCGTCGATATTGTGGGAACTTGGGAGCGAGCTGACCTATCGCCGCGCCGCAACCCGACGCTGTCGGTAGCAGCGCATTAAGTCGCCGCAAGACAAGTGCAGAGGGCAAGCATTTCCCAGCCGAGGTGCCGCACTGCCCTTCTGTGTGCAGTATCACTCCTTGCCTTTTCGGTCGTTGAGCGCTCGTATTCCTTCAAATACCCCCCTCGTCCCTCCCTCAACATACCCTCATCCCTCCTTCTCGGTCCCACATCTCTCACCTCAGTCACCCAACGTCACTATGACTCCCTCCACGCAGTACGTTCCTCTCTCTCTACCACCTTTGCTCCCTTCCTCACCTCTCCCTAGCCACTCTCAGTCGCCGCGCCACAACATGCTTGACGCCAAGCTGCCACATGATGACTTCCTCGCTACTGCCTCTCAAGATCCCAGTGACCTTCACGATGACCTCGGCGCACTAAACTTTGCTGATGTCCGTTACTGTTCCATCATAAACCTTTAGTTTCTCCATCTCACCCCCTCATCTCAGCCTTACTCTTTTGACATCGGTGGCGATGAGGGCCTCTCGTCTGAGCTGACCCACGATGTCGCCAGTGTCCGCCAAGGCGACTACGCTACGTCGTGGCCAACTGCTCCGTACCCGGAGGGCTCGCTGCTGTTCGCCACATCGCCCTACCTCCACAACATGGGGCTCGCCTCTCCGTCACCATCTATCCCGGCCTTGCATGACACGTACTACGCTCCTACCCCTCAATTATACAACACCCCCAACATTGGTAGGAACGTGCCGCACATCCATATCGAGACCGAAATGCGGCCCTTTTCTTCCCCTGGCCCTGCTTTCGGTCATCATTCGCCTTACGGCCACTCGCCACAGGGATATTCACCCTCGGTCATGTTGCCCACACCGTACGCTCACAGCCCGGGCTCCAGCATCGGCTCTGCACCTCCCGTCACCCCCGAGACTCCCTTCGCGTCTGTCTCTCCCCGTTCTCCCTACATCAACCATCCCTCGGCTTCCCCCATCTCACCCTCTAACCTGGTAGTCCATCCCACTACCTTTGATCCCAAGGTAAGGCTTAATAAGCGCTCTTATGCCGCAGGGGATGTTCTTACAGAAGTCCAGCAGGAATCCGTCATCTCTCTTCAACGCGAAGTATTGGAGATTGCTCGCGTGGCCGGACACCCCCACGGCGGTCCATTCGTTCCCCAGAAGACGTACAAGCCGCACACGATTAGCGATCGCCGTCGGTACGTGGACGAGGTCGAGTTGGAGGCACCCATCATGTTCTTCTCGAACAACCCGACTGGCTGCGGTATCCCCCTCAGGGACGCGATCGCCAGCCGTTTCAGCGCTCTGGACGGCCGTGACGACTCCATGTTCGAAGGTCGAGGACCGTCGGTATCGATCAGGCTGAACGTGAGGCATTTGCTCAAGCGTTGTAGATGAGCAGATGCTGATGGAATCATATCAATAGTGGCCCGGATATGCACCCTGGAGTCGCCAGATCCCCACCAGGGACTTCCGTAGTCCACCCCAGCCGATCACGCGGGCCAAGTTGGCTAGGAATGTGGCGAAGACGGTCCAGCGCTTCATTCAGGTGAGCTTGAGATACTACATAGCGCGCCCAAGATGCTTGAGTTCTGACCAGAGCGCTCTCTTCCCGCAGGAGATGGAGAATCAGACGATGGAGGATCCGTCCGAGGTGAAATGGCGCGTCGGGACGCGTGGCATACGCCTCGAGGACCTCATCCTGGTGGGCCTGCAGCACGTATCGATGGGATCCTGGCAAGCGCACGTACGCCTGTTCCGGCGCCAACATTAAGCTTCTTACGGCAGCGGTCTGTGCCTGGGCCTCCGCCTCCGCTGAGATGCTGCCGTCCTCGAGGCGCCCCCGCAGGGCCGGAGCTTCTTGTCGGAAACAACCTGCTCGCATGTTCGTCTCGTTCCCTGCCACCTTCATCTCCATCGCATCGCCAGTCTTCTGAACCGCTGCTTCGAAACCCCATCTGCGATGCAACTGCGCTATCTAGCGTAGGCTCTACACCAATGGCTGACCTCGGCGCACGCGTCTGCGCATGATCTTGCCGTTCCCGCGGGGACCAACTGAATGGCATCGCTGCCGCTCCGCCCTGTGGACAGCCCTATTTACTTACCGAGACATAGGCTCATGGACCTTTCTCGGACTACATGCTCTCCCTTACATATCGATGTAAGGATACCCTTGGAGTGCTCGTGCTCGTTCAGAGCTCAGGCCTGCTTGGTGTACCCGCAATCTCCCCTGCTCTTGTCTGTCTAATCTCTTCCAGCTCAATCCGTCTTCGGAGCGATTTATCGCCTCGCTTCATCACAATGTCTTGGTTCTCTCTCTGCTGCGATGCTCAGGATCTTTGCTCTAGTAGAGCGCCCTCGTAGATCTGGTGAATACCCTGTCCTCGTTCTTTCTTGCTTATGTCTCCCCCGGCCCTTGTCCTCGACTGTATGTCTATGTTCTCCTCGATTTTGCGCGAGACCGGAAATTGCTACACACGTCGTCAGCTGTATCTCCCTGTATCTCCTGCTCTGATCTATAGCTCTAGTCGCAATGCAACGCATACAATGAATATCCACTCTGTTTGGACTGACGCGCACTGCCGCTTTCCGGATAATGTCATTCCTGCCTATGTGCATCGCACCTCCGCCGCTAAGAGACTAGAACGGTTTGAGGGCTATGCAAGAAGTTCTCTGCAGAACGTACATAGATAGATTGCTTCCCATCCCTTCATTTACGTGCTGAGGGAACTGGGGAGTGCAAACGACAGCTTGAATGCCGCCACAAGGCTGCCTGCATTGCCACCGCGATAGGATCATGGACCCTGGGAAGTCTTCGATGGCTGTGCTCGACGCCGCCCGTAAGTACGTACTCCGCGTTCTGCAACCACCACATGCGTCTCGCGTGTCTTCTCAATCGTTATCGATGTCTCATTTGAAGAGATTTCCCCCAGTTGCTTGCGGATATCGTTGCCTCGCCTGCTACAGAGGGCTGTGGCCTGCGCCTAACATGTGAGGCCCGGCTCATGTCCGCATAGCTGCATGACCTCACGGATTGGCATGCGCGACAAGAACGCATGGAGGGCGTTCCCGCTGTTCATCGCCCCCGGCTTATCTGATCCCACAGAATCCGTCCACAGAACTTAGGCAGTCCACTGCAGCAAGAGACGACAGCTTCCCTGTCGTGCCTACCCAGCCCCGCACCGCCCCAGTATTTCGCCTATCCGGATATCGGGCCTGATTCAATACTGACTTGAAAGTCTGTGCCAGCTTCTCGGGAGCTAACCGTGACATGCTCCCCTACTTCTGCCTTTCAGTGGCATGCTCATGCCTCGCCGGATGCGTCTGGCCGCTAAGCATCGCCCCTCGATGTCCGCCGGCGAACGGAGAGAACAGAAATAGATCGTGGTCGGGCTGTTCATCGAAGTCCGTCGGAATTACGACCATGGTGCTGCAGCAGCGAAAGGCACAGCTGCCGCACCACTATGCGTTGGTGTAGCGTGAGCGACTAAGCCGGCGGTTCCAGGCCTCGCTCACGGGTCACGATCGTCTTCATTGAGCGGCGAGTTACGATGTCTGTTAGTTCAGGCTGCTCCACCTCACATTCCAGTGAATGTAAAAATCAGCGTCGCATGTCCCGCGCCGGGTGGTGTGCTCGGATCAGCAGCAGGCCCCTGCCGAGCCCCGCCAGCCTGCTCTCCGGCCACCTTCCAGCTCGGGGACACGCCTCGACGCGCTTACGCACGCCTGACTTCGCCACAGTACACGACATACATCTCCGCGGCAGGGAGACGACGTCGAAGAAGAAGTGTCGGTGGATACGGATCTAGCGTCACCATTCCATCCTCCCTATCCTATTTGTGTGCTCCGCCACCTCTAACACTAACGCTCTACGCGCACCATCTGTGACCGATGCTGGGGCGATGGTTTCCGCAACTTGACATGTACCTTTCGCCAATGTTACCGCTATCGACACAGCGTCGTGAAGCATCTGGATAGACTCATGGACTCAGACTGCGAGCTCAGAACCAGTTGCTCGGATATCTCGCGCATAGCGCGTTGCCATACTTTTTGACCCATCCCAGCTTCTCAGCCCCTTGTTAGGCACCGCTGTCAATGCAGTTGCTTCTTGTACTGGTTGGTCTTTGCCGGGCCTATGTGATAGACAATCCCTGGAATGTCTCGACGGACCTCGATCTCGGGATCGTGGAAGCGGTGGCATGAAAGATAATGCAGTGACACAGGAAGCAGCAGCTTTCATCCGCTCGGTCACCAGATACGACATTTGTAGTGCCTACAGGCTGGTGACGATGTGGCAGGTCTCGCTCGCTTGGTAGCTCGTCGGGATACAGCTGTGGAGGCTGGCTGGGCGTGAGGCTAGCTGTCGGTACAGAGGAAAGAAATAGGTATAATCAAAATTCAGCACCGTACTACCTAAGCAGATATCTTGGACAACAACAAAACCGAAAGAACAGCTATACACACAGTGCGTCAATAAGTAACGCCACGAAGTCGAGAAGCAAGCCCTCATGAGGCCGGTGCGGCATTGGGGTCTCTGTAGACCTACAAAACGATCATGAGCTATATGTTATTCATGATAACCAATCAGAACCTACCTTCAGATCCCATAGGTTACCAACTTTGTTGCTGTCACCAACAGCCGCATCCTCATCCTCGTCGTCATCTTCGACCTTGCCATCGACCTCGAGCTTGAGTCCCCGCTCGTTCGCCAGATGGAGCAAACAGATGAAGCAGAAGCTGGTGCTGATCTCGTCCATCTTGTCCTTGGTGTACGTCTTCTGCAGACCAGTGATGACCGACGTGAAAGGTCTTGCTTCCGTTGGGTCTGTGGGCTGTTGGTCATCTGTGTCCTGCTCGACCACGAGTCAGTTGCTTTTTCATATTTTCAGAAAGGACTGTAGAGTACGTACCATAGCATCTTCGCCATCCTCGACTGGAGGCGCGACGATCTCAAGGCCCTTCCAAATGTTCTCCTTGAGTTTCCGGACATCCACCCGCTTCGCCCGCTTGGCGTAGTTGACCGTTTCAGGCTTCACACGGCGTGTTTGACCCTGTGTGGCTGCGAGGAGATCTTGCTCGTCCGCCTCAACAGGTAGGCCGCCATCCACCCCATCATCGACATCATCAAAGCCTGGCCCGTCGTCAAAGTCGTCGTCGTGGAAGAACTGGGTGTCGAACGGTATCGCGCCTGCTGGCCGCGTCAGATCAGCTATCATCGCTGGAGGTACGACGGGTACTGACTATCATCTCCAGCCTCTCCGCCAGCACCCGCCGCTTGATTCGCCGCTGCTTGCGCCCAGAACGCCTCGTTGACCTCGCCTTCTGGGACCCCATCTAGGCGTAACCGATGTCCACGCATTTTCAGCTTTGACAGGGAGGGTAAGAAACTGGTCTAAGCTAGAAGCAAGGGAGTTGTAACTCACCGAGAATCTCGGCTTAAGGAACAAGGTCACTAGACTCTTGGTTGAGAAGTGCATGTCGTCCGGCAAAGTCTGGTTGTTGCGCTTCTCTTCCTTGTCCTTGCCTTTACCCCTCTTACCGCGCCCCTTCTTGGAAGCGGCTGGTCCTGGAAGGTTGATGCCAGCACCTCGGACGACGGGCGCGAAAAGCTTCTTCTTCCGCGTCTTCACATCTTCCTCTGGAGGGGCAAGGAAGTCGATCCTGAACGCTTCTTTCTTTTCCCGCTTTGGTCTTGACGCAGCCGCATCGGTGGCATCAGCTTCACAAGTATTCGTGAGACGACTGACGTTTGTGAAGGATGAACAACAGAGGAAACACATACGTCGGCGGACTACCTTCCTGAGCTTCCAGTGCTCTGGCCCTGCCCAGTTCTTCTTGAAGTAATTCTGATCAAAGTAGTTCGCCATGCCTTCACCGTCTTCACCGACCGCCATCACGAAATCGCGCTCGTTCGGCGGATGCCTCGGGTCGAAGGCAACAAACTGACCCTGCTTCTGCTCTCCGGGTGCGCCGTCCGACCCACCGACGGAGGTGGTATCGCCGTCAGGGCCATACTCCGCGCCAAAGTCGCCATAGTCCTCCGGGATGGCTTGGTCCCCAACGAAAAAGTCTTCGACTGGAGCGGCGCTGTTCGGGACGCCGTCTACGTCCATCGCATTATCGATATCAGGAGCGTCGCCAAAGCCATCGTTCCCATCGTCGTCATCGTCGTCCAACGCAAGCGCACCGTCTCGGAAGAAGGTCGTGTTGTCCATCGAGAAGCTGTCCTTGCCGAAAGCAAAGTCCTCAAGAGAGTGTGAGATTTCTTGCTCCTCAATACTGTCGAGATTTGGGATGAATTGTTCTGCTGAGGATCGTCAGGCTGCGGGGAACTGTCAAGGCCCGTTGAGAAGCATACCTCGAAGAAAGCTGAGATCAACCTCGTCGCGAGGCTCCTCCAGAGGCTGCTCCTCTTCCTCTCCCTTGGCCACTGAGTCGCTCGCGTCGAACACGACGCGGAGACCGCCATTGGGGGTGACGGTCAGGCCGAGATGGTTCATGAGCAGACCCTGCGCGCCGCCCTCATCGAAGTCGGCGCACGTCTTCCTGAAGAGAGGATCGACGCTGAATTCGAGCTCGAGCTTCTTGGTACGGAGCTGGGCGGGGTTCTTGGCGAGAGTGGACTCGCTCCGGTACGCTTTCCGCTTGCGTTGGCTTTGACTCGGGTCGGCACCGTCGGGGTCGTCAGAGCCTTCGCCGTCCTCGGGGTCGTGACCGCCGTTGGCGAGGTTGCTGAGAAGCTTGCCGGTCTCGGTGCCGACGGAGTCGACACGGGAGGTCCAGATCTTGACGCAGCCGTCAAGGGTGCAGGATGCGCGTTGGAAGTTGATGGAATTGTCGGTGTTGTTGCGCAGAAGGGACATGTCGTGAAAGTAGTCGATGAGGGCGAAATTCCAGGAATTTGCGGCATTGATTTTCTGTAACACGGGTCAGGCACGGTGATCCAGACACACGATGCATAGGAAAGCCATATAATCTCAATGAAGGGGGCGGGGAGGAGTTGCGCCGAGGAAAGCAAGGGGAACCAGGCATGAACAGGAGCGGCGCTGAACACCTGCGCGATTTGGCTCAATGTACGACAGGAAAAATACGCACGTTATCGGTTGCCATCTTCATCCACTGGTCAAAGTTGGAGGTCATAACGTCTATGGGTACGTTGATGACCGGAACCTGGGGTACGTTCAAGAGCTGGCTCTTCTGCTTAGCTAGATTTGCGGCTCTGGAGCCTTCAGCGGCCCCGTCGGTAGCGTCATGGGAGTTCGCAGAGTTGGAGGGCCCAGCTTCTGGTTCGTCATCTGGGTCGAGGGGCAGGACGACCTTCGCGCTCTTCCTGCGGCGCCGCTTCTCCGCAACATCGTCGTTTATGTTGACGCTCTTGAGAGGAGGGCGCGCCTTGGAGGTACCATTTGTTGCGTCGTCAAGATTGAAGCTGCCGTCAGGGTCGAAGCGTTCGCTGAGGCGTTTCTTGGAGAAGTTGCGCGCGGTGTGTGGGCGGGGAGTTTGCTCGCGTTCTGTGTCGCCACCCGAGTCGGATTCGGCAAAGGATTGGCGGGAGATCTCTCGCTGTGTGCGGTGGCGCGAGACGGGCATGGCGGGCAGAGATGGGGGCGGGGGAGGGAGCGGGCGGGCTTGGACGGGCGCGAGGATGCTGATGGCGGAGGACAAGAGGAGCAACACGACGCGTTCAACCACCCCAACGCGCCCCACGTGACATCTCCCCCTCTTGGGCGCTTATACATCTGAGAGACCGGCTGTGGCAGACACAGGCAGACATCGAATGCAACTACGACTACGACTACGACGACTACGACTGCAACTACGACTACGACTGCAACTACGACTACGACTGCAACTACGACTACGACTGCAACTACGACTACGACTGCAACTACGACTACGACTGCAACTACGACTACGACTGCAACTACGACTACGACTGCAACTACGATGGCGAGAACAGACGAAGTCGACCCCGGCTATGTTGCACTCCCTCTCGATCTCCAGCGCAGAATAGACAACGCATTCGACTCTGCCCTATCCTCCTCTGGCTCTCCTCCTTCAAAGCGTCGCAAACTAGAACAAGATCAGGCACCCGCACCTGGCGGTTTCCTTCTCGACGACGCCCCTCCTGGTGGCTTCTTGCCTGACGAGCCCCAGTCGTCTGAAGACCAGGACGATCAGGAGATCGTGCAGAGGCATATCCCCCTCTCCCTCATTCCTACCGCCCTCCAGATCCTCGACCTCCAACCCGACGACGAGGATGTGCTCTCCGTCTTCCGCAACGCTGCCTCCGGATGGAACGATCGCTCGACTTCTCAGTCTGGCGATCCGCTAGACGCTCTCGTCACCCGCAAGGATTGGCGTGCTGTCTGCGCGGCCCTTCTCGACCCCGGTCTGGCCGGAGACGACGACGTGGACATGGGCGGGGATCAAGACCCCCCTTCCGGGTCCGAAGCTGGCGTTCCCCCCGGCGACGAGCTCTCTGATTCGGGCGAAGAATATATGCAGTCTTTGAGCAGTGGATCCGATGCTTTCGGAGTCGACTCAGACGACGAGTACCGGGAAGGCGGCTTCCTCCCCGCCAAGAACGCCAAAGGCAAGGCCATCTCCAAGGTGGCGCCCTCTTCGCCCAAGTCCCGACGAGGACGCGGCCGTAAGCGTTCCATCTCGTCCGAAGATGGCGACAAAGACGACGCAAAACAACATGGATTGAGTGCCCGACAGAAGAAAGAATGCCGTGCTACGTTCGCGCTCTTCTTCCCCGACGTTCCAGACGCGAGTCTCGACGCGCAGCGGATCCGAATCAAAGATATCACACGCGTAGCAGCGCTGCTGAAAGAGAAGATCTCAGCTGAAGAGGTAAGCTGCGTACTTCTCCCGTGTGAGGCACGGTCGGCTAATCGGTCCCTGGGCGCGGGCGCAGACAGTGGAGATGCTCGACGCGTTCTCCACAGCCGCCGACAGGTCGATGGGGCTCGCAGACTTTGAACGAATGATGGTCGCGGCCAAGCTAGCTTAAGGAAAGAACAAACTATGAGCGTGGTCTGCAGCGGCGAAGAAAGCTGTCCGGACATTAATTGGGGTGGCCCGATGGTGTGCGTCTATTCGCGTCTGTAAGCATCAACCCATCGCGTGTTGGTTTGCCTTGTGGCTGACGCTGCTCGCACAGCGCAGAGGGCCGAGGGAAAGGAAGGTTTTGGTGCGAGAGCTTTTAGCTGGCTTCGGAAGACGAGCTGGCCTTGGGGAACATTTGCACTCATTGACGGGCAATCCACCTGCCTTGAATAGCGACGGGATCTGGTAATAGGCAAGGTTTGGTACCCACGCTCCAGGTACCCCGCAGTCGGATTCCGCAATCGTTTTCGAGACATTTGACCACGCATACTTAGGTGACGCCTGCAACCGAACCAGCGCCGGATGGACGCCCGGTTAACTTTCGCGAGCGTCGCCGTCCCGAGCTCGCTCTCTCCCGCGTAATTCGTCGTCCGTGCCTTGCGTTTGTTTCCGCCAGTGTCCTTCATTCCTCCGCCCACACAAGATCCGTCTCTGCTTCGGCTTCATTCCCCCTCCATAGTCAGCAGGGCGCCGCCCCGTAACTCTTGCATCGGGCCTCCCACGCCTGTTGCTACCTTGTGTCAGGTCCTTGATGGCCTCTACCCTCCTCGCTCTTTCTCGCCGCTCATATCCAGCTTCCAGCCACTCAGAGCCCATCTTCGGGTCAGCAGCCGGACCATGTTTTCTCCCATCTCTCTCCATCCCACCTCGCGTACCCCTTACGGCGCTGTGACATACCCTCCGAGATCCATGCCTATCCGCAAGTTTCATCGCAGCCCATGATGAGCCGGTCCTTGACAGTTCCATACGGTCTCTGCGCGCTATCCGTTGGCTTTACAGCTGCCCGATGCGGGGGCTTCCATACGTTGACAGCGATTCGGAAATCAATCAACCTCAATCGCGTCTTTCCCCAGACCCTATATATAGTCCTCCCGCCCTGGGGAACCTTCGTGGTTCGTCGCCCCGCATCCACATCCTCGAGTTACCCAGGCCTACGCGTCGCAACCTCCCGCCCCCACACACCCCGCGCGCGCACCACCCACATCCACAATGCCTGGCGGTCCAGCAGCCTCCGGCCCTGGCATCGGCGCAGCCGCGCCGAAAACCAACATCGTCGGTATCGCCATGGTCGCCTTCGCCGCCTTCGGTGGTGTCCTCTACGGCTACGATACCGGCACCATCTCCGGTATCATTGCAATGGACGACTGGCTGAGGACCTTTGGCCAGCCGACTGCGGTAACTGCAACGAACCCCTCGGGCTTCTTTTTGTCCACTCCGAACCAGTCTCTTGTCGTCTCCATCCTCTCCGCCGGTACCTTCTTTGGTGAGCGCACAATTACCGCTCTCCATCGCACTGCGGGTTTGAACTGAAATATCTTCTCTAGGCGCTCTCTTTGGCGCGCCCACCGCTGACATTATCGGTCGCCGCACGGGCATCATCGCGTCCTGCAGTGTGTTCTGCCTCGGTATCGCCCTCCAGACTGGCGCCAGCAACTGGGCCACATTCATCGTCGGCCGTTTCTTTGCCGGCTTCGGTGTCGGCCTCATCTCGACCCTCATCCCCATGTACCAGTCCGAGTGCTCGCCCAAGTGGATTCGTGGCGCCGTGGTGTCCGGGTACCAGTGGGCAATTACCATTGGTATCCTGCTCGCCGCAGTAATCAACAACGCTACCAAGGATCGCCAGAACCACTCGGCTTGGCGGATCCCCATCTCCATCCAGTTCGTGTGGGCGTTCATCCTCTTCGTGGGCATGTTTTGGCTCCCTGAGGTGAGAAACTGCAATCTGGCTGCGTCTCTGTACTTAATACTCATTCTGCTCATTCTCCCTGCGCAGACCCCTCGCTGGCTAATCAAGCAGGGTCGACGTGACGACGCTGCCCGATCTCTGTCTCGTCTGACCCAGCTGCCTATCGATGATCCCGAGGTCCAACTTGAGCTCGAGGATATCGCTGCCGCACTGAAGGAAGAGGAGGAGATTGGTGAGAGCTCGTACCTCGACTGCTTCAAGTTCACACACAACAAGATTTTCCTCCGCACCATGTCCGGTATCCTCATTCAGGCGTGGCAGCAGCTCACTGGCATCAACTTCATCTTCTACTGTGAGTTTGAGGCACTTCGTGCTACCGTAAAAACGCTTCCATTAATCGCTTCACACAGACGGCACGACCTTCTTCCAGAACTCCGGCATCAAGAACCCCTTCCTGGTTTCGGTCGCGACCAACATCGTCAACGTCTTCATGACCCTGCCGGGCATGTGGGGCGTCGAGCGGTTCGGCCGCCGCTACCTCCTCATCTACGGCGCCGCCGTCATGTGCATCTGCGAGTACCTCGTGGCCATCATCGGCGTCACCATCTCCGTCGAAAACCAGTCCGGCCAGAAGGCGCTCATCGCGCTCGTCTGCATCTACATCGCCGCTTTCGCCTCCACCTGGGGCCCCATCGCCTGGGTCATCACCGGCGAGATCTTCCCGCTCAACATCCGCGCCAAGGCGATGTCGCTCTCCGTCGCGTCGAACTGGCTCTGGAACTGGGCCATCGCGTTCGCGACGCCCTACCTCGTCAACGTCGGCCCCGGCGACGCCGGCCTCGGTGTCAAGGTGTTCTTCATCTGGGGCTCGACGTGTTTGGGCTGCGTGATCTTCACCTACTTCTGCATCCCCGAGACCAAGGGCCTGTCGCTCGAGCAGATCGACATCCTCTACGAGAACTCGACGCCGCTCACGAGCGTCAAGTACCGTCGCGAGCTGATTGCGCAGAACGTCCACGTCTCCAACCTCAAGGGCGGTGGCGCTGGGGAGGACGAAAAGGACGTGAATGAGAAGGTCTGAGCGAGTTGTTCGTATAGGGTTCCGGTACACACGATATAACGTACCTTCGTGCGCATGTTTTGTAATGTCCTTGAATGTTAATGATGATAGTCCCAGAACGGACGTTTCGGGTTCACTCTCACGAAGTGCGGCTACGATGTCGTCGTATCGTTGCTAGACGGCAGAGTCTATTACGGATGATGTGAATCACGATAGTCCTAAGAGTACATGATGTGTGATATGCAAAAGGTCATGCTACGATCTCAAAGCAAAACTACAAGCGGAAGGGACACCCATGCTGGCTACCAAAGCTCGTCCTCGAATCGATCCAAAACGGCGTTGGCATCCTCGACGTCCTTCTGCGCCTTCTTCCTCATGTAGAAAATCGGGCAGTCTCGACTTGTGCACAACACATCCTGACGAACACTGGTTTCAGTTTCCCGTTCTTTCAGCGACTTCGCCGACTGCAGAGACTGACCTGATGCAGCGAGCCCTGACACCGTTGGCACTGCGTCCACAGGCGAGAGAAGCGGACTTGTAACTCAGACGCAGACGTGACCTGCTTCTGATATAGCTCGCCCAGCCTCGGTCTGCAGTTGTTGCAAACCGCGCCACCTGCACAAGACGTTAGCACGGCAAGCACTCATCAGTCCCTGTAAATGCTCACCCTTCACGCTGTTGTTCGGACGGAGAGGCGTCTTGCACCCCAAGCACGTCACCGTCTTCACCGCGAACTTCATCAGACCACCGACCGTCGGGGTAGCGATCTGGATCGTCCGGGTGTGGTCACCAGACACTATACGAAAGCGTTCAGACAATTCACACGCTCGCGCGGAAGCAGTCCGACGACGTACGGAGCGAGTTCGCCTTGTCCCCCATGATGGGCTCGAAGATGCGCATCAGAGGATTCGACAGCTGGTTGTCGAGGTAGTACTTCGTGTCGATGGGGATGTTGTTCTCCAAAACATAGATCGGGTCTTCCGACTTCTCGTACGCCGCGGCGCCTGTCGGGCATCGTCAGCACACGTCCTCTCGCGAAGACCGCCGCGTCGTCCACGCACCCTTGATGCCCTTGATGATGACATACGCCACACGGTCGCCCAGAGCAGGGGCGGAACCCGCGTCTCGCTGCTTCATCCGCTCCGCCAGCTCGACGTGCGCTTGCTTTGCAGCGTAGTCTGCCGAATACCAGTGAGCAAACGATCTCACGCACGACACGGTGGCGATCTCCTTACCGGCCTTGGCGAGGGCCTTCGTGATCACCAACTGCGACATATCGATCCTGTTCTGCAGCAGGTCGGAGATGACCTGCTTGACGTACTCCTCCGCCGCCTTGACGTCGCGGTCGATGAGCAGCTTGTGCAAGCACGTCTCGATGACAGTCGACACCAGCCGACAGTTGTCGCGCCGCACGGTCTGCAGCTCGTCAGTGTCCCGTCCGACGTCGACGAGCGTCGACGCGACGCACCTCGATACCCTTCGTGTCCATCTTGTCGTACTTCTCCGGCCGTGTCCAATACAGGCCCGCGTACCGCTTCTTGCTGATGAGCAGGTAGGGGAAGTAGACCTTCTCGAACTCGAGCTTGATCGGCTTGATGAACTTGCCCGTCACAAAGTCTGCAGCCTCGCTCCCTGGACGTTTGCCGCACGACATCAGCCATCGTGGTCGAACCAACAACGAGCATCATCACCAACCTAACCGCATGACGGTAGGCAAGTCCGTCGGACCAAACCTTACCATGACTGAATCGGTATCACCATAGATGACCGTCGCGTCGTGATCGTGTCCATTTGCGATACAGTACTCCGCCTCGACCTCCTGCTTCGTCTTCTCGATCATCTGCCGCCCATACGCAGTGACACTCGACGAGATCGCCAAACACGGTAATTTTCCTATCGTCGCGCCGGTGAACCCGTACACCGAGTTCGCGCTGATCTACGGGGCGGTCACCACAGTCAACAATAATCACGACGGCGTACCGCGATCTCTCACCTTCAACGCGAGCTGCCGACCGTCCAGCACGGCACGCTTGAAAGGATCCGTCTCCTTTTTCAGATCCGCCTTCGCCCGTTTCCGCGCACTGATCAGGTCTTCGAGGATGGTGGGAAGCAAGCCTTTTCGCCTCGAAGACTTGACGAACAAATCTGCAAGACGCCTCAACTCACCAGCCATCTCCAGCGAGAGCTGAGCACGCACCGTTGTTCGGAGTCTGAACGTAGTCCACGTCCCTCACGAGACCCAGACGGTCCACGGTGGCCTTGTCGAGCAGCGTCGTGTAGCACAGGTTATGCGCCATCATGATCGACGGATACAGGGAGCTGAAATCCAACGTGGCGATGGGCACGTCGTAATAGCCCTTCTTGGGCTCGATGACGGTAGCACCCTCGTACTGCTCGTCGCTGCCTACGTTATAGTAATGAGAAGGCAGCCGGTGTGGAAGGCATGACCCACATACCTTCACCCTTGAGCGCCGGCACGACGTAACCGTCATCGTTCGCCTTGCGAAAGAGCTGGGACAAGACCTTGATGGACTGGCCACGCGCGAGGAGGTAATTGAACGGGACGCCCGTCACACGGGCCATCTCCGTATAGTTGATGAAGCACATGAGTTTGTCCATCAAACGTTGAGGCAGGTACGCATCCTGCCAAGAGACTATTCAATATCACCAGGTGTGGCAGGGAAAGAGGCGCGACTTACCTTCAAACAGTAGACGGCCAGACGCCTACGCGACTCTGGGGTACCGTTCTGCAGCTCCGTAATGACCGAATGGTGCACGTCCTCCTTCTGCTCGCCCAGGAAATGGGCACAGACCGAGTTGAGTGTATAGCTGCGCAGCTTGTACTCCCGTTGCATGTACTGCAGAATATCGATCTGGAGTCGACCATCCAGGACCGTCTCCTTCGAGTCGCGTTGACCAAAGGCCTTTGATGAGAAGTGCGTGTCCTTCGTTACAGTCTGCTTGTCTAGAGGCGCGACCGGCGGTGAGCTGCGCTCGCCAGAGCGTCGGATGATAAACGAGAAATACTGACTGGCGATTCTGCCGAGGTACGGGAACTTGCTCGCCTTGAGAGCCCTTGCGCGGTCGAGGAGATAAGGAAAATCGAAGTTCGAAATGTTGTAACCGATTATCACGTCTGGGTCGACCTCCTCGATGAATTCACGCCATCTCACGAGGAGCTCTGCCTCGTCGGTGAAGGACAAGACCTGCGAGCCCACAATGTGTGCACAGCTATTGAGGGTGAAGACGTTCCTGATGAAAGGCTTGCTCTCGCCTGGCGCATGGTCAGCAGAGCGGACCAGCAAAGGAGGAGCTGGCAACAAACCTTGCCGAGTGACCATGTTCGCGATCTGGATGACGGGGTCTATATGTGGCTCGGGAAAGATACCTTTACGTCCGGCGCACTCGATATCGAAACTGAGGATGCGGAGTGGGGCCGTTTTCGACCACTGGCCATCCGGTGCGTGCGAGATGAACTGGTCCCACCTAGACAAGTCGATTGGTTAGGGGATCGGTGGATCATGGAACAGTTGACACTAACTTGACGGTGAACTCGATTTGACAGTGAGACTTCTTCGCCTTGCCCTCAAGGAGGGAATACTTCCCCGCCGGGACCTCGATCCAGTTCATGCCAACAACCTGGGAACAAGGTGAGAGGGCGTGCGGCTGACAACGGCACCAAATGACTCACCCTTGTGTCGATCATGAAGCGGAGGGTGTAGGCTATGTTACTTTCGAAGGTTGCAACATCAGTCTCAAAGAGGCCGTTGAACTTGCATTCACCGCGCTCGAAGAGGCGTGTCAAAACAGCAGAAGAAGTTAGGGAGGAGAAGCATGGATGATGAGGAAATGAACATATCTCGGACTTTGGGTATACTTCTCTGGTCTATGACGGTGATCTTGACGAAGCTGACCCAGTCATCTCCTCTATAGCCCCATAGACTGCGTTTAGTTGTCAACTCGACGTGGCGTACGGCACCGTAACCGAGGATATTCTGGAAGATATTCAGCTGGGAGGTAAGTGAGAGAGAGACGGACGGACATTGATATGGCGCTGGAAGGGCCCTGCGTCCTCGTTTGAGAAACCTCGGGGAGTGGCGATGTAGAAGTAAGGGAGGAAGTCAGTGACCAGTGCTAGCACGCTATGACCGTCCTAGAGGTAACAGCAATGAGAGGGAGTTTAAGGAGCTCGAGGGTCAGGGACGGACTTGAGTGACACCAAACATCCTGAGGGTGGTACCGCCGGTCTGTTGGTCAACCGAGTCTTCGATGTCAATCTGCTGGAATACTGGAGAGTGGTTGAGTTGGGGTGGAGGAGGATGGGGGACGGAGGCTTACTGATACTGTCGCGGTTGGGGTTGATGGGAGGCAAAGGGGGACGAGCCCAGGAGTCAGCGCCGCCCTCGGCATCTGGATTACAGAGTGAGTAAGAGAGGGAAAGAGGAGAGGGAAAGAGAGACCTTTGGATTCGCCGGCCTCGTCCTTGAGTCTCTGGAGGACGTCAGCGAAGGAGGGTTGACTGGGTTGGGAGTTTGAAGGGCCGGTGGGAGAGATCTTGCGCTTCTTGGAGGCGGGTTGGGAGTCCGTGTTGAGCTTGAAGGTGGTGTCGCTGAAAGAAGACGCGGTGGGTAGTGAGTCGGTGGTCAGAACGAGAGAGGGAGGTACGGACCTGCCCTGAAATGGAATGTTCTCTTTGGAAGAGGGAGACACAGTGGGCATATTGGCTTGGCCTGTCGCGCGAAAAGACGCGTGAAAAGGCAGCGGGAAGAGGAGCAAAGGCAGCGGAGGGACAGAGAGTGCAGCCCGTCGCGGTCGTTGATGAAACGCGCCCACAGGCGCCCACAGGCGGCGCTTGATCTCACCTCAGATCTACGCCAGATCGCGAGTCGCATCTCTTGCTGCACTAAGCTTCGCTCTTGCTCACAGCTACCGTCTCGCTCACCTCGCGTACTTGTATCCGTAATCTTTTCCTTACGCGCACTCTGCTAGATTATCCATCCAATTGTAAGCTTACCTGCCAGAGTCACCGTGAGTCTGCCCCTTCCGAGCCGTACGCTGTGCACTCACTACAGTCATCCTGTCCCTCCTCCATCATAAGCCGTCCAGTCCAGCTAGCATCCCTCACGCATCTCCCCCACTCGTTCTGTATCCCTAGCCATGTCGCAATATCAACAGTACTACCTGTTTTCTCTCCCCCGAGAACTCTTGGATACCCTCGTGCCCAGAAATATCCTCTCCCAAGTGCCCGAACCCGTGCCCCCTCCTCGTATTGAATCCTCCGCCCAACAGGCCCCTGGCTCGCGCGCCTGCAACATCTGTCTCGGCGCAGCCTTTGTCGACGTCGAAGACCAGCGCGCCCACTTCCGCTCCGATTGGCACAGATACAACGTCAAAGTGCGCCTCAACGGCGCCGATCCCGTCACCGAGCAGCACTTCGCCCAGCTGGTTGATGGTACGTCGCCCTTCTCTGCTCCCCATCCCCTGATCCTCAACAATGCGCTAGGCCTCGAAGACTCCATATCTGGCTCCGCGTCCTCCTCCGATGGAGAAGACTCTTCCGACGGGGACGACGCCGTCGCCGCTCTCGTCCAAAAAACTCGCAAGCTCGCGCGCCCTTCCTCCCCAGACGAAACCGCGCGCACCATACCCCAAATACCCCTAGTATGGTTCCATTCCCCTCCCGCGACCCAGATCGGCATCTACCGCACGGTATTCTCCACCTCCACCCCGCCTCCGGAGTACCTCTCCGAGCTCAAGCAGATGCAATCCGGCGGCGAGCACGGCAGGACGTGGGCCCTGTTCATGACTGCAGGCGGTCACTTTGCCGGTGCCATCGTGCGCGTGAAGCGGCCGGACGGCGACGATGACGACGGAGGGCTCACCAAGAAGGGTAAGCCCAGGCGGCCCAAGCCCGAGCTCGAGGTCCTCAAGCACAAGACGTTCCATCGCTACACCAGTACGTCTCCGCATTCTTAAGAACAATTTCCAAGAGCTCACCGTGAGTCTTGCAGCGCGTCGAAAGCAGGGTGGGTCGCAGTCCTTGAACGATAATGCAAAGAGCAAGGCCGTCAGTGCCGGTGCAATGCTCCGTCGTTACGGAGAGCAAGCTTTGCGAGACGTGAGTTCGTTTCTCCCCCTGTGCGCGACGCCTGATCTTCAACGCATCCTAGGATATCCGCAATTTGCTCGCGGACTGGGCGGAGGACATCTATGACTGTGAACGCATCTTCATCCGCGCGAGCGTCTCCAATCGCCGCATCTTCCTCGACTACGAAGGCGCAGTCATCGAGAAAGGTATGTAAATCGTTTCATGTCTCCGCTGTCTCCTTTTACTAACAGATCTCACCAGGGGACGAACGTCTCAGAGGGTTTCCCTTCCCTACACGACGTCCGGTACGCATAAGATCCGTCATGCATGCAGTACATTCTAATCCCATCTCCAGACCCAAGCAGAGCTCACCCGATGCCTCCAAGAGCTCACCAGGGTCAAAGTCTCCCACCTCACCGAAGACGCTCTCCGCGCCCAAGACGAGGCGCTCCTCGCCTCCCTCCCCAAGCCCAAGCCCCAACCCACACCCGCCCCGCACCCCGAAGCCGCGAAGCACAAGGACAAACCAGCCGCATCCCAACTCTCCCCCGAAGAAGAGCTCCTCCGCGACAAATGGGCCCGGCTCCTCGACATGGTCAAGCGCGGCCGCCTCGACGCCCTCAAGCCGTTCTGGGCCCGCGAAGCCGCAGCCCTCGGCGGCGTCGACGCCGCCGTGCCCGAGTGGGCCGCCGAGAGCGGCGGCGGCGGCACCCTCCTCCAGGTCGCCGCGCGCGCCGGCCAGGCGGAGGTCGCGCAATGGCTCCTCGAAGACCTCCGCGCGGACCCCACCCTCGCCGTCCCCGCGCCCTCCCCCGGCACCGGCGCGAGCGCCGCGGCGGACGACTCCGGCTCGGGCGCCGAGTCCGACTCCTCGGACGCGCCGCGGCTCCCGCGCGGGCGCGGCGGGCGGCGGACGGCGTACGACCTCGCGCGGACGAAGGAGGTGCGGAACGTCTTCCGGCGTGCGGCCGCGGCGCACCCCGACTGGTGGGACTGGCTCGGGACCGAGCGCGGGGCGCGCGTGCCGAGCGTGCTGAGCGCAGAGATGGAGGAGGGGCGCGAGGGGAAGAAGAAGGCGCGTCGGAAGGGGCTGAAGGACAAGGTGAAGGAGCGCGAGGTGCGGGAGAGGGAGAGGGAGGCCGCGACGCCGTCGCCTCCGCCGCCTCCCGTGCAGGAGGCGAGGCGGCAGAGGGAGGAGTTGTCGAACGGGGGCCCGAGGAGGCTTGGGGGGTCGACGGGCGGGGCGGAGAGCGTGGCTGGGCTGACGCCGGAGATGAGGGCGAAGATAGAGCGGGAGAGGAGGGCGCGCGCGGCGGAGGCGCGACTGAGGGCTCTCGGAGGCGGTCGCTGAGTTGTGCACAATCACGCTGTACCTTTACGAAGCATGTTGGCACAGCGAACCGTTTACCTACGCATTCGACGATTTAAAACGTATGCTTTTCCAGCGTGTCGTCCCTATCCTCCGTACGTGGTGCGCCGAGGTGCACGCCCGCAGCAGCGACAGTATGATTACACGTGACTGCTATAGATCTAGACTGCGATCTTGATTCCTCGACGCGCTCGACGCGCGCATATATTCCGCCGCTCTACGCTACCCAAGCCGCTGCCCTGTCCGCCCCTCTTCATACCTTTCCTTTCGCCGTCAGATCATACCCCATACCCGCGCGATGGTTTCTGCCGTTTTTGCTGACAGGCCGATCAAGAAGCTTGTTCTCTTCGATGTGGACGATACGCTGACCCGGCCTCGCCAAGTATGTGTCTCTGCTCGTCGAGCCGTGGCCCGCGTCCGTCATTTTGACGGCCCTATCTCTCCAGCTGATATCTCAGGAGATGATGGACCTCCTTCGTGCGTTACGCAAGAAGGTCATCACCGGCGTCGTCGGCGGGTCCGACTTCGTCAAGGTCTCAGAACAGCTCTCCCTCCCGGGCTCGACCGGTGCGTCGCACACACAGCTCACTCAGGCCTGCGTATCGCCGCGCTGAGCTGTCTCTAACCGCCCAGCGGTGGACGAATTCGACTATACGTTTGCGGAGAACGGCCTGACGGCGTTCAAGCTGGGCAAGCAGCTGCCCTCCCAATCCTTCATCAAGTTCATCGGCGAGGAGCGGTACAAGACCCTCGCGAACTTCATCCTCCACTACATCGCCGACCTGGACATCCCCATCAAGCGGTACGTCCACTCGCAACGAGCCCTTTCCACGCGCGCAAATGGCGACCTCACGCGGGGCCGGCTGCAGGGGCACGTTCATCGAGTTCCGGAACGGGATGATCAACGTTAGTCCGCTTGGCCGCAACGCAACGTGAGTCCCCATCCCGAGCACGTGCGATGTCTCTCACCCCGCGTAGCATGCAAGAGCGGAACGACTTTGAGGCCTACGACAAGGTGCGGGCTTTCTCGTCGCGGCGCGTTCTGACATGGCTGACCCCGGCTCTAGCAACACGGCGTTCGCCAAGCCTTCGTGAACGTGCTCAGGGAGAAGTTCTCAGACTACGGGCTCACCTTCTCGATTGGGGGCAAGATCTCCTTTGATGTCTTCCCCAGCGGGTGGGACAAGACCTACTGTTTGCGGCACGTCGCGGACGAGGAATTCGAGGAGATCCACTTCTTTGGAGACAGCACCCACAAGGTCACACCGATCCAATTGCTCCTCGTGCCTTCACCGCTGAAGATCGTTGTCTTGCATGCAGGGCGGCAACGACCACGAGATTTACTCAGACCCTCGCACGATTGGGCACTCCGTGAAGGGCCCGGCGGAAACGGCGCAAATCCTGAAGGAACTTTTCGAACTGTGAGAGGCCGGTTTAGGTATCGTGGTCACTTGGGTAGAGCACTATGTCATCTCGATTCCCTACTACATAGACCGTTGTACTTTGGTAGAATTTGTGGAATGTCTTCAACGATGACAACTAGTCTGCCCTCCATCGCAAGATCGTCATCTAGATTACGCTGAAGCTAATCAGGGATCGGCGAGCACAGATTTGATGCGACGAGCGAAATATAGCGCCGGGGAACCGGAGTAATCTCTTCCTCGCGTTAGGGTTACACCATTGCGACGACATCCCCGGCGACGCTCCGCCCGAAATAGCTGGTTCCCCCTGCTTCGCTCGGGTGACCCTCACGCGCGGAGTCGTAAACTCGAGTTTCTCCCACCAACTCAGAATTGTGCTTTGTTTTAACCCTAGCATTCATAGAATATGCAGACCACCCATGTTTGGTACAACTGCTTCTCTGACCAGCTGCCTTTGTGAACCACCTCATCTTGCCTTCCCCTCCCATCTTCTTGTTTCCTTGTCCTTTCTATGCAGCTTAGACATGTCCTGATGGTGGATAGTGCACAGAAGTTAGGAAGCATGTCTGCCACTGACACCATAACAGTGCCTCTCACTGCTCAGCATCTTCTGGATGTAGCAAAAGAGGTCGTCCTCTCTACCTCTATCATGTGCACCTGGGGCCGATGTCATGCTGAGCTCAATAGCTGGAAATCTCTTCAAGAGGTGCGACATTATTTCTTTGTAGCTACAGTGCATGAGGTGAATGTTGTTGTGCATTTCTTGCTGAAGATCGACAAGAAATGTCAACCTGCAAAGTTTGAGACATGTTAACAATCTATATTGCCTGAGTGCCAAATGAGAGGCCATCTAGTATGATTGACTGACTTGCTCTTATTTTTTTGGCAGCATTTACACAGGCATTGTCAGGAGCAGGGGCCCTCATCCAGTCAGGTGCCTAAGCATGCAACATGTCCTCTGATTAGCAGCTAATTCCACATGGGTACCAGGGCATCTGGGAGTGCAAGATCAATAGATGTGTTGGGAGATACCATGGGACTCTCCCAGCCCTCCAACAACATGTCAATCTGAGTCACTTGTCTAGAGTTGCACTCCCATGCCCAATCAGAGGTGAAAATGGTTGTTTGTCTAGATTGATTGATTTTCTGAGACAATAGTGACTACAGGATGTACCAGCAGCTTTGGGAGGTCAGGAAATGGGTTGTCTGCACACATACAGACAACCCATTTCGATGTCCTGTCTATGGACACTAGCCAACCCTTCCACCAACTTCGGCGCCCTCATCCGCATCCGCGGGAAGAGCTGTCGGCGCTCCCAGCATACCCGGTTCCCGTGTACAAGCTGCTGTGTCCAACAGTACGTCCAGCGCGACGGGGGAAGACGCCGACCGCTTCGCAAGGCAGCCGCCGGAAGTGGAGGCGGATGGACACACAAGCAGCCGCGCCGCCCGAGGAAGACGACGACGACGACGAGGAGCCCGCAATCCCACTTGCAGATTTGCCCCCCATGGACTTGCGCGGCTGCCCCGAGATTCACGACTACTTCGTGAGGCCGAAGCCGCCAGAGAGTTGGCTGCAGCTCTCGCGCCCACAGCAAGTGGTCGACCCACCTGTGCCCGAAAAACCGCCAGCGCCGAGCATCGGATACGACGCGTTTGCCGCGCGTTTCGAGCAGCTCGAGCGGGCGGGACTCATCGACGGGAAAGGATTGTGGCCGGAGGAAGGCTGGAACAAGGAAACGTAACGTCCTGAGGTACTTGGTGGGGCTGGAATCACCCGGGGTTTATTGGGATGGACACTAGTACTTTTAGTACAGATAATATTCGCCATTGCTTTCGTCGATACCGTGCTTTGTAGCCGCAGCGTTTTGCGATTGTTGTTCTGCGTTTCTTCGTGTTCGAACAACGGAGCTTCCGGGCGCTTGGTGGGGTTCGGGACGCGTCTGTACGTGATCGCGCGAGCGCCGGGGAGACGCGCTCTTGCTCGACCCTCCACTGCCCCGATGAGCAGCACCAGCTTTCGCGACTCGACCGTCGTTATCATCGAGACAGGTCGCACCTCCATCCGTGCCGGACAAGGTCTTAATGACCTCCTACGTCTGCCTACTGTCGTACGTCGCCATTTACAACGTTTTGACGGATACGGTTTCAGATGCGGACTTGCAGGATTTACCCGCCCGGGTCGGACTGAGGAGAAGTCTTGCAACACCCAACGTCGAGAACGGTACGCTTCGCATCTCTCGTCTCTGCGCGCAACGCGATCGAAAAATCGTCAGGTCTCTCGAGTTCCTCCGCAGCCGTTTCAGCCAAAGTTACCGACTATCTTGTTGGTTCGCAACTCGACGAGGCCCTTGCCGCTGGACAAGACCTTGTCATCTCATGGCCCTTTGCAGAGGGCGACATCTCTGACTACACACAAGCAGAGGCGCTCTGGTGCGTATCTGTCCTCACATCCCTAACCTCCTCTACAACCTATCACCGACATTCCAACCACGCGCCCCGCCCCCTTGCAGGAAATACGTCCTCTTCTCCTCGCTCAAGCTCCGCCGCGCGCAGATGGAGTCTCCCGTCATCCTCTCCATCGCCTCCGGCCTGTCGCGCGACGCGTACGAGCGCATCTGCCAGATCTTCTTCGAGCGGTTCAACGCCGCCGGCTTCGCCGTCCTCGACCGGCCCATGGCCCAGTTCTACTCCGTCATCTCCGGCATGCAGCTGAGCGGCATCGTCGTCGACGTCGACCGAGACCACACGGACATCGCGCCCGTGTACGACGGCCTCGTCGTGCACGCCGCGCGGACGTCGGTCCCTCTCGGCCTGAACGACTGCCTGGCGTACCTCGCGCACCTCCTCCGCTCAAACACCTCCGTCATGACCGCCCTCTCCCCCGCAGACAAGCCCCTGTCCCCCGAGGCCCTGCAGGAGACGCTGCTCGAGCTTGCGACGCACATATGGCAGAGCGACCTCATCAAGGCCCTCGCGGAGGGCGAGGCCGCGCGGGACCTCGAGGACGAGGGGGTCACAGACATCGCCGCGATCGTCGTGGCGGGCAAGGAACGCGCCGTCATCGAGAGCGGGATGAAGCGGCGCCAGGCAAAGGCGCAGCCAGCGGAGCAGGCGCGAGCGAAGGAGATGGAGGCCCTCGACCTCGTCTCGACGGAGTTCCGGGGCATCGAGCTGACGCTCGGCAAGGAGCGCCACCGCTTCTGTGAGCCGCTGTTCGACCCGACGCTGCTCGACGGCGTGCCGGGCGTGCGCGAGAAGGGGGACAGAGACCTGCGTCGTCCTCTCCAGAATGCTGTCGGCGACGCCGTAGGGCGGACAGACGTCGACCAGCGCACCTACATCTGGCAGGGCCTGTTCGTGACGGGGGAAATCACGAACCACATCAAGGGTGGGTACCGTTGGCGACATGCTTGCATCGTATGAGCATCTTGCAGGACCTCGAGGCTGACCGTGCTTTCCCGAGCAGGACTCGGAGTGGCCCTCTCAGGCCGGCTTGCCCCGTACATTCTCAGCGCACCTGACGTGCCAAACAATGAGGTGCAGCCCCGGAACATCCGAACGCTCAGAGTGCCAGACTATTTCGCCGAGTACCGGGACAAGGGAGACGGTTTGGCAGCCTTCCTCGGGACAAGCATCGTGGCAAAGGTGAGTGACAACGTTTCCACGGCAGCTTATACGATCATGTGGGCGGAGGGCGACTGGCTGACCTGCACATCTAGCTAGCGTTCAATGACCCGGCAGGAAAGAATTACGTTTCGAAACCCGACTATGCGTCGAGGGGACCCCGCACTATACTGGGGATGTCGCCCTCTTTGCTGTAACCTTATTCGTGTATTCCTACTTGCTGTCTACGCTATGTTGATGTATTCCATGCCTGCATCGAGAGCTCCGTCCCCCCTACTCTCTAATTTGACCGATGCGAAGACTACTGGAACACGCCCACTTCGATGCAGCAGCTACACGATTGATATGATTCTGCTTGTAGCTGGTGCACTTCAAGTCACGATTTGGTCATGGCAGCAAGTATTATGAGTATGATGGTCATGGGCTGTCTCATAAAATCATACAATCGCCTGCTATGATGCAATACATATGATGCATGTACGGTGGTGATACTTTTACTGCGCGGCACCCTCAGCCACGGTGAGAAGATCACTGTCACCAGGGTCGGTGACGGTCATGACACTGGAGAAAGCGCGTCAGCGAATGATTTCACGAGTCAAGAAGACATGGGCGTACCCGACGCGGAACAGCTTTCCAGCAGCAGTACCGAGCGCGACGTTGGTGCCCGCGAAGTGGTGCACCGAAGTCTTTGAGAGCATAGCATAGTACTCAAGCTCGGACTTGCGAAGAGGGGGGCAGTTGCCGGCGATAAGGACAAGCTTAGCTGCAGACGGATACGCACACAACGATGGAAAAGAGAACATGGTCAGCCCAAGGGACCTTCTCAGCCTCACGCTCCAGTCCCCGGAGAGAGAGTCAGTGGAAGTGACGAACCTTTGCCGGAACGCATCTGCTTAAGAGCGGACTTGTAGCCAAGGGAGTATTTGCCCGACTTGACGACAAGAGCGAGACGGGAAGCGATGGACTCGGAGGACTTTGCGGCCTTGGACTTCTTGGTGGGGGCCATCGCGGATAGAGTCGGTGTCGGGCGTTGATAGTCTTGAGGCTGAGGGAATATGTGGGCGTCTGCGGATGTCGATATACTGGGCTGCAGCTTTGCAGTTGCACAAATAAGGTTCCGACTCCGACGTGAGATCAATGTAACCCCAAGAGAGGGGAGCCCTAACCCGGGGATAGGGGCAGAGGCAAGCAGGGGCAAACAGATAGCGTGGTTGTTGTGTGCTTGGGGAATCTGGCGGTTCTTGACCCGGCTCAACACCCGGCTCAACACGCACAATTCGGAATTCAGCTTCAGTTATGAACGGGCGAGTTCCTTCCAATATATCTTGTATCTCTCCAGCTCTCCCCTGGTCTGAAAACCGTCTCCCCCGTTCTTGACGATCCCGGCGAAGTTAACCATCCAGTATGTCATTCACATGGGCTATGACAAATTCACTCTAAACCAATGCTTTGCTTTGCTTTTGTCTTTTCAGGCTTCTGACCTGGACCATGTCCCCATCACCGTCCGTCTTAGCGGTCTCGCGGATTGCCTATCTCGCATCTGATGTGGTCATAAACTCCCTATCGTCCGCTGGCCCATCCCCCTTTGCCTCTGCCTTCAATGCGCTCGCTGCCTCTCCACACACCAGAGCCGCCGTCAAGGACCTGCCCTTCGGTGCGGACGCAGGTGCTTCCCTCCTCCGACACCGCTCCGCCGCCCGCCTGCTTTCCTACACCACCCTAGCCCACCCCCAGGCTCTCAACAATCTCCTTCTCCATCTCCCCGAGCTTTCCTCAACCCCTACCGTCTTCCATATCGCTGTCGGCTCTGATCTGTCGGATGCTCTCGTTCTGCTCTCTTCGCTGCCTTTCGTGCTCTACTCGCGCACAGCTCAGCAGGCTCATGACCATGCTCTGCTCGCTTCACGTCTTGCCTTCACCGAGTCTATCGCTGTTCTCCACATCTTCCACCTCGGAGATGTCAATGAGACGTTTGACTCCTTAGACGAAGACAGTGTCCCCGCTTTCCTCCTCTCTGAAAAGCGATCGCTATCGAGATCCGAGCAGAAGCCTTCCACAGACCCCGCTGGTCTCCTTCAAACGTACCAGTCCGCGGCTCTGGCAACTGTCTCCCTACTCCGTCGTCCTCTTCGCCCATTCGCACAGCATGGCGCGTCTGAACCGCACACTGTCGTCTTCACCCTCGGTCGTGCAACCGTCAGCACAGACATCGAAGGCGTGGCTTTCGTCGATGTCGCGCTGCTCAAGCCCCTTCCCTCCTCAGCCATTCTGGGCACAATCCCACCGTCAACGACGCGCGTCATTGTTCTAGAGCAGGTCCATCGCTGGTCTATGAAGTGGACGCCGCTCTACTTGGAAGTGGCCAGCGCAATCCAGCAGAGCGAGCTGCCTTCCCCTCCGGTAGTGCAGAGCGGGGTACTGGGAGATGCTAGCTCCCTGAGTGGCAGCGACATCGGAGCCTTCCTGCAACGAGCCGCCTCGGAGTCGCCTTCCGCTCGTCTCTCGCTCGGTCCATCCCCGTCTTCCACGGAGGCAGCGCCTGCGACACCCCCTGTGCCCAGGCACGAATCGGCGTACACGAAGATGCTTCACAACCTGTTCTCGGACCGCCTCGAGATCCTGAACGCCCCTGAGCTTGTCGCTTCGCAGGGCCAGGCCGCGACCACGCCGGAGTTTGCCTTGGGTCGTGCCCGCGGAGACATCGAGGAACGCGAGGAGCTCGTCAGTGCCGTCCAGGATCTGTTGCGCGACTCGACAGTGTCACTGGAGATCCACGCACTTCTGAGCCGTTGGCTGGGAGCTCGGGACGACGGTCTCAAGAGCAAGCGCCTCGGCGAGGAGCTCGTCGCCGCCATCCAGGCCAACAACCTTTCCAGCCCCGCCGCACAGAAGATCCTCCAACTGCGCCGCCTCCTTCCTGCCCTTTCTCGCTGGATCATCGGTTCAGATGCGTGGGCATACGATCTTGGCGCTTCCGGTCTCCACCATGCCGTCGCGTCTAAGCTCAATGTGAACATCCTCATTCTCGACACGACCCCCTACACGTCTCGCAACACCGTCGACCCGCATCGCAGGAAGCAGGATGTGGGCTTGTATGCTATGAACCATGGTGACGTCTACGTCGCGAGCACCGCCGTGTACTCCTCGTATTCCCAGGTCCTCCAGGCCATCATGGAGGCAGACCGCTACGACGGTCCTTCCGTCGTCCTTGCGTACCTCCCGTACAACTCGGAGGAGACGCCTGCCTTGGAGATCCTGAAGGAGACGAAGCTCGCCGTCGACTCGGGCTACTGGCCCCTGTACCGCTGGAACCCGGCCAGAGAACGCGAGGGCAAGGAGCCGTTCTCTCTCGACTCCGACTTTGTCAAGAACGAGCTCCAGGCGTTCCTCGATCGCCAGAATCACCTCTCACAGCTCGTGCGCTCCAAGCCCGAGATTGCCTCCGAGCTTGTCGGCAGCTTGGGCGAGAACCTCAAGCAAGCCCGTAAGCAGCGCGCCGCGCAGGCATACAACGACCTCCTGGCTGCCATCGACGCTCCGCCTCTCACTGTCCTGTATGCCTCCGACGGTGGTAAGGCCGAGAAGGTGGCGAAGCGCCTTGCGACCCGCGGGAAGATGCGCGGCCTCTCGACGACCGTCGCGACCGTGGACTCCATCTCCATCGAGGACCTCGCCAAGGAGGAGATGGTGGCCTTCGTGACCTCCGTCGCCGGCCAGGGCGAGTTCCCACAAAACGGCCGCTCCTTCATCAAGGCGCTCAACGCCCTCGCGGCCAAGGGCGAGCGGCCGTTGACGAACGTCAAGTACGCCGTCTTCGGCATGGGCGACAGCCACTACTGGCCCCGTCCCGAGGACGCGCACTACTACAACAAGGCGGGCAAGGACCTCGACGTCCGCCTAGAGCAGCTCGGCGCGACCCGTTTCGCGCCGCTCGGCCTCGGCGACGACCAGGACGCCGACGGACCCGAGACCGGCTACAAGGCATGGGAGCCCCTTCTCTGGAAGGCGCTGGGCGTCGACGCGATCGAGGTGAAGGAGGCAGAGCCCGAGCCTATCACCAACGAGCACATCAAGGTCGCATCGCAGTACCTCCGCGGCACCATCGCCGAGGGTCTCGAGGACACCACGACGGGCGCGCTCGCCCCGAGCGACACGCAGCTCACCAAGTTCCACGGCATCTACCAGCAGGACGACCGGGACATCCGCGACGAGCGCCAAGCGCAGGGCGTCGAGCCGGCGTACGGCTTCATGATCCGTGTGCGCATGCCCGGGGGCGTGTGCCTGCCCGAGCAGTGGCTCATCATGGACCAGATCGCGGACGAGCACGGGAACGGCACGTTCAAGATCACGACGCGCCAGACGTTCCAGTTCCACGGCGTCATCAAGCGCCATCTCAAGTCTGCCATCCAGGACATCAATCGCGCCCTCCTTGATACTCTTGCCGCTTGCGGTGACGTGAACCGGTACGTGGCTTACGAGGGGGGCGCTGCATGATGTTGACTCAGGGATGCTTTGCTCAGAAATGTCATCGTCTCGACCGTACCTTCGCTCTCAAAGCTGCACCGTCAGGCATACGACTTCGCGAGGAGGGTCAGCGAGCACCTCCTACCTCGCACCACCGCCTACCACGAGATCTGGCTAGACAAGAAGCTCGTCGCCGGGGACGCACTGAAGGACGTCGAGCCTCTCTACGGCCAGTTCTATTTGCCTCGCAAGGTATGTTCATCTCCTACCGTCGGTCCTTAACAGCTGTCGCTGAACTATACATATAGTTCAAAATTGCTGTCGCAATCCCTCCCAACAACGACGTTGACGTCTTCGCGAACGATGTCGGTTTCATTGCCATTATTGACGACAAGGGTGAGCTCGCCGGATTCAACGTTACCGCCGGAGGAGGGATGGGCGTCACGCACGGCAACAAGAAGACATACCCCAGAATCGGCGATGTCCTTGGATTCTGTACTGTCGAGCAGGGCGTTGAGATTGCCGAGAAGATCATGCTTGTCCAAAGGGACAACGGCAACCGTGCAGAGTGAGTACATCCGGCGTGAACGCTACGTTGCTTACGCTAACTTGCCGTGTCCCTTTAGCCGCAAAGTAAGCTTCATAGTAACACTAATCTCTTCTATGCTAGACACTCATATGACTGCTCCCAGAACGCCCGGCTGAAGTACACCATTGACCGCATGGGCCTCGACAACTTCAAGGCGGCCGTGGAGAAGCTGCTTGGCTACCAATTCCAGCCAGCTCGCCCCTTCTCGTTCGACAAGAACATCGACGAGTTTGGCTGGATCACAGGCCAGGACGGCAGGCACCACTTCACGTGTTTCATCGAGAACGGCCGGATCCAGGACGAGCCCGAGAAGGACTTCAAGACTGGCCTGCGTGAGATCGCGAAGGTGCACAAGGGCGCGTTCCGCATGACCGCCAACCAGCACCTCATCATCTCGGACGTCGCGACCGAGGACCTGCCGACGATCAAGGGTCTGCTCGCAAAGTACAAGCTCGACAACCTGGCCTATAGCGGCTTGCGCCTATCCTCGTCCGCTTGCGTGGCTTTCCCGACGTGCGGTCTTGCTATGGCCGAGTCAGAACGGGTCAGTTTCCACCATCGAATCCTCGTGTCAGCGTCAGCTCACTTCTCCGTGTACTCCAGTACCTGCCCATTCTCATCGATAAGGTCGAGAAGATCTGTGAGGAGAACGGCCTCCGCAACGACTCCATCGTCATGCGTATGACCGGCTGTCCCAACGGCTGCGCACGACCATACCTTGCAGAGGTCGCCTTCGTCGGTAAGGCGCCCGGCTCTTACTTGATGCTTCTCGGCGGAGGCTATTACGGCCAACGGATGAACAAAGTCTACCGAGGTGAGACTTGAATGGCTCTGTAACCTCGCCATTGCGTGCTCATTTCTCAATCCTCCAGAAACCGTCACGGAGCCAGAGATACTCGCGATCTTGCAGCCGATGATCAAGCGCTATGCACTCGAGCGACACGAGGGCGAACACTTTGGTGATTTCGTGATTCGTGCGGGTTATATCGCGCCTACGACGTCGGGCAAGGAGTGGTACGACCGCATGGGCGGCGAAGGTCAACATCGGGAGATCTCAGTTGGAGCATGATCCAGAACTGAGTACTTAGGTCGTTTTGCAAAACGTGTATGATTGCAGATATGACGTAACACGGAAAGCACGATGTACAACTGTCCCAAGCACGTAGACTTGCTACCTGCATTCAACCCATTATTGTATCACGTCGAGATATCGTATCTTAATCCTCGGATCATATTCAACCTGTCATACCAGCCAGCAGCCTGTGAGTGATTGCTGAGTGGCGGAGACTGGGAAGATAACGGCACGACACAGTACTCACCGTGCGGGGAGGAGCGGACCACCGACGGAGCCCCGCCCAGCGAGATCCGTGCCCCCTCCCTCCCAAAACGGCTCGATCCTAGGCAGATCCGACGATCAGCAAGCGTCGCTGAGATGAATCGAGAAGCGAGACTGACAAACGATTGTGTACGTCGCGTCCTTGGCCTGCTCACAGTCGGGCAGTGGCGATAGAGCGGACGTCCGCGGAGGCCTTCCTTGAGCTCGCTGCCTTCGACAGCCTCTCTCGGCTGAGCCCGCCGTTTCGCGATCGTTATCGACGCGCAGGGATTCGCGCGCGACGTGGATTATGTTATCCGTTCGTTGTCCATATCGGACATGTCCATGTCCATGATGTTTTACAAGCGAGACGATGATGAGCTCAAACCGGAGACGACTCTATTACAACGATGGTGCTTCTCGATGAATTCTGCTTACGCTTTCTTGGCCTTTGCCTCCGCCAGGCTCTCTTTCAGCGCCGCGATCACCTTGTCGATATCTCCGCGCTGGGAGTCAATAGCCGAGACACCCATGTGGCTGGTGACCCAGCACGAGTTAGCACCGATCGAGACGCCAGAGATCTAGAGGGAGACTACTAAGCCACTTGAGTAAACTCACCCGATACGGAAGTACTTGACTGTGGCATGCAACGTCAACTCAATACTTGCCGGCTGTGATACCATGCGATACACGTACGCTTGTAATCCTTGTGCAAGCCGCCAGCAACGACAACATCCTTCTTCGCAAGGGAAGGAAGCAGGTCGGCCGCGGCCAGTCCCTCTGGGAACCACAGCGCCGTCATCCCGTTTGCCGCGATTGACGGGTCCAGAGGCAGCTGCTTGAAGCCGAGCTGCTCTGCCTCCTTCTTGACGCGCTGACTGCTCTCCCTGTGCAGGCGGAAGCGCTCCTCAAGCGACGGCGTCGCCCCGGTGATCTGCCTGAGCGAGGCGTTGTACGCGTATATCAAGTTGACAGGGGGCGTCGCGAAGTATGCGGCGTTTCCGGACTCGTATGCTTGCATGATCGGGAGCCACCTGGGTTATAGGAGCGAGAATCAGACATGGATATATCGCACAGCCGTATCAACGGACGATCCAAACTCACTTTGTCCAGCTCGCATAGTAAGACGTGACTGGGCTCTTCCTGGACTCGAAAGTCTAGGGGTATCTTTGAGTGCCTACCCTGCGTACATGGGGGTGGGTCACATACTTTGATGGCTCTTTGGCTGGCAACAAGGATACTCAGACCGGGAGGCGTACCGAGGCCCTTCTGGCTAGCCGTCAGGACGACATCGAGGCCCCACGCGTCGAAGCGGATCTCTTCACTGGCAACGGAGCAGACGGCGTCGGCGACAACCTACCCAAGCGTCAGTATAGACTCAGCAGACCACGTGCGTCATGGTGTCAATTACCAAAGTGTCCGGCGACGCACTGCGCACGGTCGCCGCAATACCCCTTGCATCCGACAACACGCCTATGCGATTGCAACATCAGCACGCAATCTTCATCATCGAACCCGGGTCAACTAACCGGTCGATGTGTCAACATGCGTGAACGTGACGAGCTTGTACTTCTTGGATTTGAGGGCGGCCTCGATCTCAGACAGAGGGACGGTCCCACCGAACGGCGCCTTGATCTCGTCGACAACCGCGCCGTACGTCCGGAGACTGTTTCGAAGCGTCAACGCTTGCAGGAAGAGGTCGCGCGAGCTGACCGCGTCGAAAGAAGGTCGGGACTTACCAATCGGCGAAGCTGTCTCCAAAGTAGCCGCTGTTCAGCACGAGGGCGTTCTCACCGGGCTCTACGAGATTCGCGGCGACCTTCGCGAAGAACGCCGGTAATAAGCGTATATTCGACCCCGCGAGTGGGGTTAAGGTACGCAGATGCCGGCATGGACGGACGTACCTGGTCCCAGCCGAGCGTCCCGGAGCCGGCGATGAGGAAGGGTTGTGCGTCCTGGGTGAAAAGGACCTCCCTGGTCATACGGATGGCATCACCAAATACCGGAATAAAGTCTGGAGAGATGTGGGACATAGAGGGGTGAGCATTGGCGTAGAGAACCTGGCTTGTGGTATGAGCATCCGGGCCGGAAGATTGAAGGCTAGAGTTAATTACCTCGTCGGTGACTTCGATGGGTCCGGGGATGCTGCAAAATAGCTTAGATGGGGCGCGCGCGATAGATGGCTAGAAAACATACACAAGAAGCCTTGATGAAGGGGCCGCGCGATGTCTAGTCAACACTAAGAAAGTAGGACCACGGACGAATTGCTCACTTGTGCGGTTCCTGTAGCGAGGTAGAGAAGGCATGAACGATTGTACGACGAGGACCTGATCAAGGGATCGAACGCACCTGGTGGAAGGTAGACATGGTGCGCGACAAGAAGAAAGCTGTTGTTCTGGGGAGGTGGGAAGAGTGGTAGGAGGAGGTGGAGGTGGGAGGAGGGATAGAAGAGAGCCTCAGAGCGCGTCCCAGGCAGACGCGCACAGACGCGCGACGCAGCATTTGATCCGTCACCTGACGGGCCTCGGAGTGGTACTACTTTACACCTTCTGCCGCAACAGCCGGCCAATGTGCAATGCAAAGCGGAACTGGCAGCACGAACGTCTGCGCAAGGACGCTCGGACGAGTTACCGGTTGCAAGCCCGCGGAGCACGGAAGGCCGCACATGCAGCAGCACACACGCGTCTCCGTCGCCTATTAACGCCTGTCGTTCACGTCAACGTCGGCAGTCGTCAGTCGCGGCCGTTCCAGCCACAATGCCAACATCTACCATGGCAAGCGTTATATCAAACGCCATAAGGAACTCTCGGGTATACACAGAAACTCCTGACATCGACTCCACGTTGTACGACATCCTACACCACCCTCGAGCCCAACCGGGCTGCCCGTGACACCTCAGCGCCCCGCAACGATCCGCGCAGAGTCGTCTCCGAGTCCATTTGCCTGCGGTCCCCCTCCCATGATCCCTGCGACCGTCCGTTGCATGTCCGTCCACTCGGACTCCCTGGGGAGCGCCATGTCCCCGATGTCGTAAATATAGAGCCGTCCGTCGCTTCCACCCAACGCAGCCCTCCGCCCGTCCTTCCGTTCCCACCGAAGCTTGTTCAACGCGCGTCCAGACCCGACGCTCGTGGAGACCACCGGCACCTAATTAGAACGGCGGTAATAGACACCACTCAGCATGACAGCCCACGCCCGTGAGTTTCAAACGCGAACAGATAGACGCACCTCCGTGTCGTGGTTCAGATTCCAGAGGTCGAATTTACCCGCGCCGTCTACCGTGCCGAACAGAGCCGGGTGCGTAGGATGCCACTTCACGTCGTACACGTAGTCGTCCGCTTCGTCGAACGAGTACAGAGGCGCTACGTTATTCACTGCCGTCGAAGGCTTTGCCAGCGACTTCGCTCTCCACAGCTTGACAGTCCAGTCCACAGAGCACGACAGGAACAGATCCGAGAAGTCAACCGGCCCCACGAGCGGGTGGAAGTGCAGCCCCATGACAGGCCCCGAGTGTCCCTTGTAAACGTCGTACTGGTTCAGACCTGCCTTCGCCCCTGCGCGGTCGTACCGGTTTGCCTGGTACACGTTGCCTTCCTCTGTGCCAACCCAGAACGTCGTCGTCTCATTGTCTGGAAAGTTGAGAGATGTGATGGACACCTCGCTCGTCTTGTTGTGCCCAGCGTGCACGAGCTCTAGCGTTTCCTACGTCCATACTTCGTCAGTTGTTCGTGCGGCGGAAGTCAGCATCCATGCCTACCTGAGGTTGCGCGAGCATGTCCACGAGCCAGCTGCACACCGTGCCGTCGGTACTGCTCGTGATGAGATTGTGCGCATTCTGCGTGCCCACCATTTGCATTGCATACACCGGGTGCGTGTGCCCAGCAGCAGACAATGGCGTCTTCAAGACGGGCAGGTGCTTCGATCGCGTATCCCACAGTAGTATTTGCCCAGAATAGGTACCACCGAATATCAGGTTGGAGTGAAATGGCGAGAATGTTACCGACAATACGTCTGACTGTGCGACGTTAGCAACGTAGTTGCATTACGCCCTTCTCAGGCGCCACATACCTGAGAGTGGAAGACGAACTCTGGTCGTTCAAGCAGGTGTAGGTTCCAGACCGCAACGATGCCGTCCGGCTCGTTCAGCGCGGCGGGGTTCTTGTTATATGATGCGCAACTGAGTTCTGGGTACTGTGATTGGCTGAGCTTTGTATACAAGCGACCGCTATGTAGTACCTAGCACACACCTTGGGGGACCAGTCAATATCCGTGATCGAGCGGTTCTTGCCAAACCGCTCGTCGTAGAATGCGCATACATTCTTGATTCGCCCTTCGGAGGCTTCCCTTCTGAAGAGGTGAGCATTCTGACGGTCCTTGATCCGCCTTCACGTACGTTCCACTTTCTGCACCAATGGTATAGTCGCGAATGTAGTCATAGTTGTCGTTAAGTGCTCGTTGGATGATCTTGGTAGACTGCTCAACGAAGTCCAAGAACTCCGGTGCCGAGAAGATGATCAGTTTCTCCTCGTCCGTCATTTCTGCGCGCGCGTCAGTATGGCAATCCCCAAAAGCACCACACATAGGCATGCATACCCCGAATCTCCTGTGCAATCTCCTCATCTAGGCGTTTACTCTCCGCTTCTAGCTCTTGCTCGTGCGCTAATCGTTCCGCCTCCGCGACTTCTCGCTCACGCAGAATCTGTTCCCGAATCTCCTCCTCGGTCGCGGCGGCAGGCTCAGTTTCAACCTCCATCGTTTGGACCTCCTTGTTGTAAATTACGCGCTCCTACATGACGCTTGGTTAGCTGTCCCCATGATCCTATCTGCATTCACACAACCTTCTGTGGCAACTCAAAGAGCTCCTGTTCGATGTCTATAAGGTCCGGCACTATCCGTGGAGTCATCTCCCTGGCAGGACGTGTTTGTATGAATACCATATTGTTGCACTGAGACAAGAAGATACAGCGCACCGTTCAATGACATTCTCCGTCGCCCCATTCTGCGACTGAATGAGGGTAGTCCCGAGACTGTACCTGCTGTCCGACGCAGCATCGCTCTGCCTGCTCAATCGTCCAGAAAGTACAGAGGACGGGCCTGGCAAACTTGCATGTCCGAGCGCGGGGGTACCGGGCACAGAGGAGACGGGCGTGTCCGCGCCATCCGCGCGACTGCCTGAGCCGATGAGGGCATTGACCAAATCGTCAACGTCTCTCCGCGCGCCCGAGGGACCACCTGTACTCTAGAACGATAGGAAGACATGAACGCTTGCTGCTTGGGTGTTAGGAATGACAACAATGGATGCATACCTCGGAGAGTCGACGATCCGCGTCTGCCTTCTGGCGATCGGCTCTTGCTTTACGGAGCTCTGCAAGCTTCGCCCGCTTAGCCTCTATTTCGGCCCTCCTCTTCTCTGACATGGTGGTATCGTGAACAGCCCTAGTATATGCGACAATACAGAGATACAAGCAAGATAGGAAGTGGACGGTCGAGCCGAGTGGTTGAACGGAAGAAGCAAGATGGGACGCGCTAGCCACGACTGAGACGCGTCTTCGGGCAAGACGCGACGGGTCGCCTGTGCTGCAACGACTTCGACTCTGCTTCTGACTCCCACTTACTTCGCATCGCTGTCCGTCGGCTATGGCTTCAAATCGCAACAGAGGCTCGCAAAAGAGTGGCGCACGACGCGCAGAAAATAACAGGATCTACGCTCATCCTCTGCCACTCGCCTTCTCCAATCCGGAACCTGGCAGCACATTCGGATATGTCCTTGGTCTGCTGGGCTTCTCCCTCACAAAGATAGAGAATCCCCATTGCGAAGGCGTATTCGACCCCGCGACGCGTTCCGTTTGGATCACAAACGAAAGGGACTCCTCAATTCTCTGGCGCAGAGGCTTCTTCGGCAAGGGCGACCTCTCGCGCAGCGAGCCTTCATGGCTCGCGAGGCAGATCAGTGCCCGTAAGGCTGCTGGAAAATGTGCGTTCGCACGTCCATGCCCTATCTTCGTATGTGCTCACCAGCACAGACATGACCGCAGAGGAGATTCGAGAAAAGCGTCGAGCGGAACGAAAGCAATTCAAAATGGATCGTGCTGCCGCTATCGCGAAAGCGGCTGCCGAGGCTGAGGCTGCCTTCGCGGAGGGTCGACAGGCCGCTCCCGCTGTCATTCCTTCTGGTGCGACGTGGAAACCTCAGCAATTGGGCGAGACAGCAGAACTACCAGAGGAAGCCCCTGACGACAAAGACGAGGACGACGAGCTAGAGCCGCTCAAAGACGTCGAGCATCTCCAGCTAACTTTACAAGAAGCGTTCTTTCTCGTCTGGAACCTGGACTGTCTCACAGTCCTCGATCCGCAAACGGTACATATGACCGTCCTTGAACTGAATATACACACCTTGTCTAATATGTTCCCATCGGCAGAGTGAACCATTAAGCCTGCAGCAGATCTGGAAAGCCTTCCAGAACGTGCATTGTGTGCCACCCGAACTCCCGGTGTACACCAATCGCTTCGATAACCCGTTCCTCGTGAATTACGCCGCATATCATTATTATCGTTCCCTTGGCTGGGTAGTAAAGGGCGGCATCAAGTTCTGCGTTGACCTGCTCCTGTATAAGCGAGGCCCTGTCTTTCATCACGCAGAGTATGTGATCCTGCATATCCTCGGGACCCCTTGGACTCATGAAATCCTACAGGTTTGGTGTCGTAGTGATACCAGTATACGAAGATTCTAGGGACCAAGAATCTTCGCCCTTCAACCTCCCCAACGCCAACACGTTCTCCTGGTCGTGGCTCAGCACAATCAACCGAGTCAATTCCCAAGTTCAAAAGGTGCACCTACATTCTCGCCGGATTTTCTGTTCGCGACCCAGACTCACTTGTTTTCTAGACCTTGATCCTAACCTACGTAACGATCCCCTCTTCGTCGCGCGTTTCAACCGATCTTTTGTCATCACCAGCGTGCCTTGCACATTACTCCGTCAGGGACGTAGTTCTTCGCCGGTTCATTCCCGCGCGTATGCGGGACTAGGCTTGTAGCTTGACTTGGGACTATTGGCCTCTCTGCATTTGTACGTTATCAATTACCACAAGATTCATTCACACGTAGACGCATAGGACGCTCCCCAAAACTTTCGCTAAAATCGGTGATGCGTAAAGCAAATAAGGATATAGTGCGGGTCAATTGCAGTACATCATATCATAAAGCAGAGATACAGGCTGAACTTAAGGTATTTACCAGCATGCAACGCTGACGAGGTCCCAATTGCGCCAGAATATCCCCAACCAACACGGTGAAGAAGTGGCGGACATGGCGGACAAGAAGGGAAAGAGAGGAAGGTCGGGGCCACACCGAACCCGAGGAGATGCGAGGATGGCAAGACGTCCCACCTACGACCGACGACCGACGGACTGAACAATAGGTTATACGGCGCCCTTGATTTGCACCTTCCGGTACTTCTCCTCGAACACCGACGCGAGCGGGCTGCCTGCAGGCTTGCAATCGAGTACCTTCTCGGGGTCTGGGCTGTTTGGATTCTGGAAGAAAGCCGCGCGATGTTCGGCGAGGAACTCCCGTGCGGCGGCCAGCGTGTCGAACGCGAGTTCGTTCTGAATGAATGAAAGCTGTAGTGACCGGTACCTGCCATATGTGCACATGCCGCGTCAGTACCAGCGTTCGCAATCCATGCTCCGATCCGAGGAAGCAACTCGGACACTCCGATACTGAACGGGGGTCCGAAGAAAAAAGGAAGGAAATCGCGATAGACCGCGAGGAATGGAAGGCAGGAAGAAGAGGAGAGGGCAGGGAGGTGATGAAGGAGATGTGGCCAAGGTACTCACGCTTTTGTCATGACCATGAGCGCACGTATCCTCTCCCTATCAATGAAATGATCCATGATGTACGCTCCCATGTTGGGAGCATTCAGATACAAGTCAAAGAGCGCATGATAGTTCCCCATCGCCACCGCACGTTGGACGCCGAGGGCATGCCGTACGGCGGGATCGGACTTCTGTCGTTCTGTTAGCTGACCTACGTATAAATTCAAGTCTGATAGAACAAATACGATGAGACCGGTGATAGTAAGCAGCGCGCCTGGGCTACTAAGAACTGTGTACACATACCACTGCGGTTCCGTCCGTGCAGCAACATCAATATTCGATATGCCGTGAATTCTTCCACTTTTCCGGGGATGCCGAGCTCATAGAGGTTCCGGAGCATCGCTTGACACTGATTGTACTCCACCATGTCGCCCTATCACGTACAACACGTCCGCCGTACGTTAGCACGGATCCATGGTAGCCGACAGTACGGGTGGAGGTAGGAGGGAGCGCACATACCACTTCCAGCGCCATGCGAGCATGGATCTCATAAACTGTCACGGTAAACTCGTTCTTGATGCGCTGCACCTGCGTGAAGACAATAGAGTGCGAAGATGCTGCTGTCAACACGCCCACCGCAAGAAGGCGGAGAGGCGCACGGTAAGATCCTGCCGTAAACTCTTAAATTGGGAGCATATCCAATTGTAGGTGGCCTTCTCGCGCCACTTCTTCTTGAGCTGCTGCAATGTCTCTTGAAGGACGTGATAGGGACGGATTTGCTCCGGTTTAGGTTCCTATCGGAACGAGACCGTGTGGCAGGGGTAGGGAAGCGTGTCATCAGGTGCTGTCCCTTAACAAACCACCTCAGTCGCAGTAGCTCACCGAAGTCAGCCGCAAGTAATCCTTGAATATCTCAGTGGACGTCCCAACAATGGCGTATCGGTCCCAGTCCTGTACGTTCTGAAGATGGGCAAAAACCCATGAGCACGAGACTTGCCAGCAAAGGCAGTGGCCAGAGGGCGCTGACCAGGCTCGTCTCGGGTTCGTCCGCGCCGTCAAACGCGGCGGGGGTTCCAGACCGGGATTTGAAGAGGTGGTTGTTAGCGTGCGAGGGGTACGAGGAAGTGGAACTATGGTTGCCGAATGGACGCGAACTTTTCTGCCGTTCAATCTCATGCTCTCGTTGGAAGCGTGCGGCCCTGCGGTTGAGCGCGGCCAGGTCATTCGGATCGAACATACTCGAGGCGGCTGACTTTCCTATGGACGTCTTCTTGGTCTTTTTGTTGCTCGTATGGGTACCATCATTTCTACAAACCAGCATCAGCCTCCCCCGGCCGACCTGAGCATGAACGCGACTCACGACTTGCGCTTGAGGGTCGAAGACGTTGTTACGGGTGGCGGCTTTGGGACCAAGCTCCATGCCCTCTCTCAGCCGCAAACAGTTAGGCATGGGGGACGACCACCGACTTACCTCTTCAATTGTACCCCGGCCCAATCCGTCGTCCAAAGTGTCTTCGCGGCGAAAGAGTCAGCTATCACCTGTTTCAATTCTGCCTGCGCTTCTGCCCTATTCGACTCGGTCATCTGGCCCAAACATTGCGCGACCCATTCTCTGAGAAGAGGTGAGCGTGATGCCGGAAAGGCTGACGGTGGTTATCGTACTTCAGTTGTGGCGGCCAGCTCTCGGTGGACATGCCAATCAAAAGCAGTTCTAAACGTCTACAATGTCTTGATATTTGACGGAAGCCCAGAAGAGTGAGACGGCAGAAAGACGTGCAGGTACGAAGTGGTATACGGGCGAACGTCTGACAGGGCAGTCGAGAGACAAGACCGCAAATGGATATCCCGTGATCATTTAATTTGTAATTATTTATGGCCCGTAACTACGCGTCGTCGTAGTCAATTCTGTGAAGGCGTCCCGCTTTCCTTAATGCCTACATGCACACTATCGAGCTGGAGGTGCATTATTCGCATTACTTATGTACCAGGAAACAACAACCCGACGAGACGTCCCACCGTCGCATCGTGACATGATTGTATGCGAAGAGAACGGTCCATTTGGATGTCGACTATGCACACGGACGTCCCAAACGACTTTCAGGCAGGTTCTAGTACTCTACTCTAAGAGTTCTCAGTGCTTCTCCGCGGGAGGGATATACTCTTCAGGGATGAAGAGACCATGAGTTGAAAAGAGGCAAACATCAGCAACAATGCAGATTCATCGAGGCGCGGAAAGCACTCACGGATCTTCCGCGTCTTGATGGGCAGCCACTTGAAGCGCTTCACGTAGAGGGCGATAACGGTCAAAGTGGAGAAGAGGATGACGGCCTTCAGACCCCCCTTCTTGCGCTCGTCGTGCTCGGGCTCGGCCGCCCAGTTTAAGAACGTGACGACATCCTTGGCCATCTGAGACGTGGTAGCAGGAGTGCCTTAGAGGGGGACGAGATCAGTTGCGTCAATGGCAACTGTCCTGTATCACGACGTACCGTCCTCGTACTCTACAAGACCGTCAAAGAGAACACGGGCCATAGAAATAGCGTTGCCGGGGAAGTAAGGGTTGTAGTTCATGCCCTCACGGATCTCGAAGCCCGCAGGGGGGTCCCTGTAACCGGTGAGGAGAGAGAAGATGTAGTCCTACCCAAGTGACTGCGTTCAGTCTGGTATAATGCGACACTTGAAAAATGAAGACCTACCGCACCGCCGTGGCGGGCCTTGACGATCAGACTCAAGTCGGGAGGAAGCGCACCACCATTGCTGGCGCGAGCGGCCTCCTCGTTCGGGTAGGGAGGGGGCAGGTAGTCGGAGAGCTTGCCCGGGCGCTGGAACATTTCGCCCTGGTCGTCGGGACCGTCCTGGTACTCGATCTCCTCGGCCATGGCCTTGACCTCGTCCACGGTGTGGGAGACACCGACAAGATTGCGCCAGGCAATGCGGTCCAGAGAGTGGCAGGCAGCGCAAACTTCGCGGTACACCTGGTATCCTCTCCGGATGCTGCAATGGCTCGTTAAGAAAAACGCTTCGGATGTGACAACCGGAAGAAGTAGCTACCTGGCGTGGTCGAAGGAATCAAACCATCCTGAGTGGGACCAGGGGTAGTGGGGCGGGTGGAGACCCTCCTCAGCGGGAGAGTTGGCATGGACCTCGCCAATAAAGGGGAGAGTGCCGTACAAGTTGGCGTACCACGCAACGGAACCGACGGTCAAGAGGGTCGCGGAGGCCAAGGCCGCACGGGAATTGGCGAAGGACTAGAGAAACGGTACCAAGTTCAACCAAAGTCCCACCATACCAGAACGCGAGTGGTTCGTACCTCGAACGCGGAAGAGGAAGTCGAGGAAGTGGAGGCAAAACGGACACGCTGTTCGAGTCGTGAGCGCGTCACCAGGCCAGAAAGACGAAAAGCACGCACCGGGAGAGAGCGCGCGGCGGTGAAGACCGTCGAGCAGGCCCCAGGAAGGGCTGCGACGTTCTTCAGGGCACCCGCAGGGAGCCTGGCAAGCATTTTGGGGATGAGCACAAGTCGGTCGACGACGACGCGGATATTCGAGAGAGCAAGCTGCCCGCCGTCACACTCGTCACGACACCTCTCCCGGGCATTCCCGGAGCAGCTGCCTCCCGACAAATCACAGCCTTCCCTTTTGAAGCCGCGCCTCGGCCGGGGCTCGGCCCAGTGAACGCTCAATCAGGCAGGACACCGTCCGGACAAGCCGGGACCCGGGCCAGCGTCGTTGCGCTCGGACCAGTGCATGTTTCCAGCGCACTTTGCGGCCATTCTCACAGCCTGACGAGCTGCTGAGCTGTCGATTGCGTTGACGGGCCGGCTGCACAATAAATATCGCCACAGTCGTCATTGGCGATCGACATATTCAAAATGAACCAGCTTTTAGACGAGAAAGAAGTAGCATCCACTAGCGTCGCGTAGACATCATAAACGTAGCCATGTGTAAGAGATCGTCCTATAGTACATGCGGGATCATACAGGACCGGGAGTAGCGGACGGAGTATGAGAAACGAGTTGAAAGGACATGCTCAAGCCGGCAGAGCCTGTCGTACGACTCTAGAACAAGCAATCGCAGCACAATTCTGAGGGGCGCAGATACAGCGGTCAGGGGACAGTGCAGACAGGCGAGTATCACGATGAGAACGCACCTTCAGCACAGCAGCACAAACACATTCCCGCCAGACATGCCATGCATCCGTCTCCGCCACCCTTGTCTTGCTGTTGTCTATACCATTCCGAAACGATCGGCGTTCAGTCATACTGGACCACAGACAAAGCTCGGCGCCACTACGTACACGTAAACGGTCTGCGGAGGGGGCTGAGGCTGATAGGGCTGCTGGCCATAAGGCTGGCCGCCGTAGGGCTGCTGGCCATAGGCTGGCTGGGGCTGCTGGGGGTAGTAACCACCCTGGCCAGGGGGAGGGCCTGTCAACGAGCAAATGACATCAGTCTGCCTCGGCCCGCTAGGCACATAACATGAGACGCACCCTGGGGAGGGTAGTACTGCTGCTGGCCGCCGCCGCCGTAGTAGTCTCGGTTGGACATGGTGGAGATGGAGAAGGAGAAAGCTGAGAAGAAGGTTTGTACGAGAAGAAGATGGAACGGCCGCGATGCAACGAACGCTTATAATAGGAGGGGCACGTGACGGAGCTGCCGCGCAGGATGGCGGCAAGCGCAGACTTGCGGCTGTGTGCCAACGCCGTCTTGACATCGCCCTTCTGACCAATCTCCCCCAACGAACGTCGTTTCTCCCGGCACTGTACTACAGTTCGATAGGCTACCTGCGGAGAAGCGTCCGCAGCAATGACCTGTGCTCTGCGCGCGAAGACTCCCGGCACGGCTTGACCACGCTCTGCACAGCTCCTAGGCCTCAAGGCCGGGGTACCTGCAACGTCCAGAAGATTCCTTCTCCTGTAGACTCGCCCTATTGAGCGGAAGAACCCCGCTGAGGCGTGTGCACATACGACGTACCTCTTGCGGCGACCCATATCCCGTTCTCTATCCTGCTGTGGCGCACTATTCGGTAGATCAACACAACCCGGAGGCGTATCTTGCCATACAGCATGTCCAATGCAAACGACAACCATCGACGGGGCGCAAAGGCCAGGAAGCAACATGCATCACACAAATAATCTGTCATGTTGCGTGCGCCGAACGCCACAATGCATGGACGTTCCATCTGCCAAGCGGGAAGCGTAACGAACAAGGGACGAGATTACTCTATACGGCATATGTAAAACGTCCTCGGAGGCCAAGGCAATCAATCCGAGCGTCCAAGGGGGCATTAGCGTAGAACGAAGGTGGAACGAAAGGACTAGTGGATACTCGGGGGCGGGGCGGCGCCAGTCGAACAATGGGTACGAAAACAAAGGCAACAATAGATCTACACACCCGGCGGAGCGCCTACAGCACTTATGGGTCCCGAGTCGAGTACAACAAGTAGATCGTCGATCGCGTGGAGCGCGTGTGTGCGCTGTCGGTATCTGGTATATCGTGTGCGTGTGGGGAAAGGGTTACAGAGAACGCGGGGGCGGTCCGATCCTTGATGTAGGAGAGTCATCAACTCAGCGGCGGTCCTCGGGCAAAGTTAGTTGTAGTGGCAAAAGCGTACATTCGGGCACCTTGCTGCAGGAAGTACTGCGTCAATGGTGTTTGTGCTTCGTGAAAGGGAGCAACCATATCGTGAGTTTTTGTGATCCGCTGGGGCGCAATTCGTTCTCACCGGGAGCAACGTATTCTCGGAGTGGGAACACTTCAAAAGGGAGGGATCGTGCTTCCGCAACGATGGCTCCTCGACCATTCTGCTGGGCTAGTGCCACAGGGTCATCGAATCTGAACCACGTCAGCAATGGATGTATTGCAGCTGCCTATGGCGACGAACCGTGGTAACCGGATCAGAGTGACTTTCAGCAGGAAATGACCCCTCTGGCGGACGGAAACATCGGGAAACATGAAGTAGACCCCTCTCCTTCCTTGTAGATTGCGTAGAATATGGGGAGAGGACACCAAGTTGCCGTACAGCAACCTGTCGCGGGCAGGCCGTCCGTCATGACTCGTACCATAATCCATTGACGCGGAACCGTCGCTGCTCATGAGAGACACCTGAGCGACAAGGAACGGCAGGTCCATCTCGCTGGGGAGTTTCTCAGCGAATACCTATTGTTGCTCGAACCCCCTCGTGCTACTTACTCGGTAACAGTGCGTCCCGCCGAGTCGCGCATTATCAACTGCGCTATCAGCGGGGGTGCGAGAGGAAGGCGCGTGAGAGCAGACGCGCCAAACTCTGCTGTGCGGTGGGGATGTTGTACGATCTCGAGGCGGTACGATCTGTGAACAATTCGGCCAACGTCATACGAAGCTTTATAGCACGTAATTCCTTGCTGGCACCCACCTGGATTCACTGCTGGACCCTTCGGTCGCGATCTCAATGTCTTCAGAACTGTTCAGGATAGGAGGCTGTCGATTTACACCGCGCGCCCTACTGGACAGTGCGGAAGACCGTTGCGGAGGGGACGTGGTACCCTCTGCGAGGGGGCTTTCGCTGGATAGGAAATTTATCGAGAGTTTCGTCCGATCCTTGGGTGTAACGGTGTGCCCGCAGGATTTGGTGATACCGTTGTGCAAGGGAGTCGCACAGCGGTCGAGGGGAACGGTCTGGGTGAGCTGAGCAAGAGGAAGGGAGCAAGGGTGGTTTGTGCTAGATGAAGACGCGGAGACAAAAGGGAGACGTACCATATGCGCGCTTCTACCGTAAGTCTGGGTCCAACGGTAACGCCGTGAGGCAAACGCACGAAATGCTTGAAGCCTTGTGATTTAGCCGAGATGGAGCAGCGCTTTGCAGAAGAGGCTGAGCAGGCGTCCACATCCACAGGCCGACCAAAAATCCAAAGAGGCCAAGGAGGGCACAACGGATCCACTGCGGCAGACGACGGTACGGCAGCACGCAGAGGAACTGAGCTTAGCCACATTCGGTGCGGGACTAAATACTAGCGGCAATAGAGAAAATTCCTCATAGTGGCTGATCGATGCAGGGTTGCTTCCGATTCCAGGGCTCGAAGTCTCAAGAGGTTATGTCAAATCAATGACGCCGGTTCCAAACCGACGGCCAGTCTGACCCGAGGCAGGAGGTTATCTAAACTTAACAGCAGCCAGCCGCGGACGGAGGATGATGGAAAGCGGGGACGATGACTCACATGGGATTAATGTACGATAGATTATACATGAAATATACTAGACTGCGGTCTTAACATAACTCCACAACCCGGCGAGTCCTGAGATGAAAGTTGCCGCGGCAAGGGCGGGCTTCACACCGGCTACATGAGGCAAAACAATAAGAACGGATAGTCGCGGAGAAGCAATTAAGAAGGCGTACCGGTTGACTTATATAACGCGCCAGTAAGTGCGCCAGCAGCCATGCTTCCGTATGTGTCGTGCATGCCACGGAAATGGTCTATTGAGGAATTAAAGGCGTTGTAGACGAGAGCTGTACGGGGATGAATGAATAAGCGAAACACGTCAAAGAGGAGAAGCGTTCGTACCGAGACAGCCGGCAGAGTTCCCTATGAATGTGCCTCGACGGGTGACCGAGTTGAGGATGCTGTTGATCCTTAGCCTGGCATTGGACACCGCCAGGGGTCTACGTGCGCCCTCGCGCAGTCCCCACACGCCGCCAAGGGCGAGCCCTGGAGGTGTGGTGTGAGCATGTGATGGCGCAAAACAATAAGGGGAGATAAGGTGTGACGAATAGGAGCGACATCCGGTCAGACTAGCATGATCGTGCTGACCCCGCCTTCGAAGGAGAACGATGATGAAAGAAGGGGCAGACGTGAAAAGCCGATAAAGAGTACGAACCGCTGAGATACATCGTTCCCGTGCCATAACACAAGTCATCACTCCAGCCCCGCGAGGGAATCGCGCCCCCAGCTCCTGGAAGGTCACTTGTTTTGTCATCATCCAGCTGGAGGTAGTCGAGCTTGTCTTCTATGCCAGCCAGTGGATGGAGTTTTGAGGGATCGAAGGAGCCGAGGAGCAGGTCCGAGCCTGAGCTGGCCATCGCATCGATTTGGTCATCCTTGAGCAAAGAATAGTCGACGGTATCGCGTGCGCCAGCCATTTTGAGACAACCTTGACGGGAGCAGGGGGAAAGGCGGACAGCAGAGAAATTGGTGAGTGAGGACACTGGGGAAAGAGACTTGCTTGCTGGAAGCCGGGCATTTCCTGCTGGACTTACGTAAGGCGGCCCATGGCTATCGGGCGTCTCCCGGTGAATTCACTCGAACAGAGCCTTTCTGCAGCCTAAACCTCCAAATCCTCAACAGCCATCGACTCATGTCGCCAGGCTTTCTCTGTCGCCGCCTTTGAAAAGAAAATCTCAGCCACGCGTACATCATTTACTTCCGCCCCCCTCACCGTTATGGGTCATGTGGCGCGCCTCTGTCAAGTCTTCGCTAGGAACTTCGATACGCACCATGGTACGCTACTTTCCGGCTGCACGACTTTTCTGGCTGCCTTTCAAAGTTTGTATGACAGACGGCGCTGTATTACGCGCCGGCTTGGTACATCCCCACGCTTTCGAATTGTTCTGCTGCGACATTTGACGTCGAAAGGTGGCGCTGCGCCGGCATGACGTTGTGGATGGTTATCTTTGAGTAACGTCCGCCCCGCTGACAACCCATAGGAAGTCCCCGGGCGACGGACTTCGTTTGTGGTACCATCAAGATTTGGTAGTCATATTTCTGTGTCAAGCCGGATTGATGCCGCAAAACGGGAGTGTGGCTCCGGCCCTCACTGATTTTGTTCGAATATTGCGGTCTGATGGGACATCATGGACATGGTACCCATTCCCACTAGTGCATAACGCCGTATCTTCGTATGCACGCGACCTTTGTAAGGGAGAGCAGTCGGATATAAGAGGAACACTGTTTTCCATTGGGAATCAAACCATATCGGTGAGAAGTGGGTCTCGCGGGGCCCAATTGTATGCTTGCGTGCACCTGATACCACAGCGCACACTTGCGTTACGCCAGCACAGCTCTTTATAATATGACTGTGGAAGGTGACTAACGCGTGAGTCTATTCAACCTCAGGAACCTCCTCCGTGCCTAGCTCTACACCCAATGTATATACGTCCTGACGAGTTAACCACGCGCTGAACGTCAATCGGACAGTCCGATTGCCGTATGCAAACTCCTTCGATCCCCCTTCCCAGGCCGCAACGTGTCCAGTGGGACATCGAGGAGCGAGATCCGCGATTTTGGCCGCTCCGAATGGGCGATCTACCGCTCCCAAAGACGCAATAGACCTTTTGTCTTGCCTTGACGACAGCAAGCCATTGTCAAAGCCCGAGACCATGCCGCCTGACCGCACTGTCGCCGCCCTTTCCAGACCCGCATCGCCCGAGCCGACTACGGAGACCGCCAGGAACTGTCCAATGCATGGACAGCGACCCATATGTATCCGTATTGTCTCCTTGGCGCTCTTGAGCACGAGGATAGAATCTGCAAACGAGGTCACCTCCGAGATGTGCAGCGTCAGGTCGTCGTCATTGTTCTCTCGCAGAGCGGCGGCGGCGAACCCTTCCTCCCTAAGCTTCGATGCGACCCATCCTGGGACGACGACGTCACAAGGACACTTGAAAAGGGCTGGTGATGCGATGGGCTGAGGCTTCCGGTGCCCCATGAGGGACGCGCGGTAGGGGATGCAGACGTCCTGGATTCCCGCGGTATGTAAAATTTCCGATAACCGCGCTTTCGACAGGCTCACAGCCCGAAAGTATGCGTACGGAGGCACCTGAGGGCTTCCAACGTAATGGCCGACGTAATAGCGGCTCGAGCCCTCGCGCTGAGGAAAGAGCATCAAGGCTAGCAAGTTCCCGGCAGCATCCTCACAAGCCAGAATCGCCAAATACGTCGTCTTGTTGGAACCGTGTTGGATGGGAATGAGAGGCACGCGTAACCGCATACCGTAACTCGTGACGTGATATTCCGAGAAGGAAAAGGCTAACCCCACACGGTTCTCGAACGCCTCGAGGGAAATAGACGAGATGCCACCCGAGGTGATGAACGCATCGGGCGACCAAGCGAGCAGGTTACGCGACTGCCAATATCTGCTGTCGTCCACGACGGAGCGTGGGCCAAGGCCCTTGTAAAGCACGGCATCGTCGAAGAGGGTGGGTCCCCACGCAAAGATCGTCTGGTCAGGAACGTGTTTGAGAATCTCCTCCTGGAGCCTAATGAACGCGTTCTGGCCTTCTCCATAGATCGTTGGCATGTTGACGCCGAAGATGCCCATGAGCGAGTACGCCCTGTCCTCTTCACGCGTAGTTTGCCGCTTCGACGCCCATGACATCCGTCGGGCGACGCTGACCGCGTCCAGAGGGATCTCGTGCCTCAGCACCGCCCGGTCGACCCCTGTGATTTGCTCGACGAGATCCGCCAGCTGTTCCTTCGTCCCGAGGAGACGCCAGTCCTTGGAGAAGAAGACGACGACTGCGGGCGCAATGAGCTCCTGGAGGGTCCAGCCGCGAGTGAACCATCTGCTCCTGCGGAACTTCGAGTCCTTTAAGCGCGGATCGTGGTCGTCCCCGACGTCGTCCAGGAGCGCGAAGCAGACGTCTGCCGCGGCGTACCACTCGTGCATGGAGTTGATGGCCTCGGAGAGCTCGCTGCTGCTTGTCTTGTCAATACAACACGAGTCGATCCACGCCCAGCGGTAGCCGTGTTTCCTGGCGACCGCGCAACAGCCTCTGATCTTGTCCGAGGCTCGGGACAGAACCGAAGGGAGGGGTGTCCGAATCTTGAGTAAACGCCGCTTCAAACCCTTCCGTGCTTTCTCCGCGTTCTGCAGAGCTCTAAGATCCTGGAACGTCTCTTCTCCCCCCTGACGCCAGACGTGAGATAGGATGGCATAGCGGTGCTCTCGCGGCCGGTCAATCCAGAAGAAAGAGCCGTCATCCGTGTCCAGAAGCCACATAGCGACCCGTCTGACGAGATGCAAGGACAACGCTGGGTCAGTTGGTACCGAGGATGCTACTCAACAGATTTCCAACTTACCCTTATGCCTTCACGATACTGGGTGCGATGGAAGCGTGCCTTCGAGGTATGCAACGCTAGCCGCTTCTAGTAGTAGGTGGTCCACCTGCATGAACGACTTCTGTGGTGGCAGGGATCAGCAAACGGATTTTCGGCGAGCGACATGGGTGGTTTCGCGCACTGTCTCGTTGTCAAAGCACTAGTGGTGTTCAACTCTGTGATCGCGCCAGCAGCAAGCGATATTCGATATTCGTGTAACACAGCCTTTGGCGCTGCGCAACGCGGGACATCATGCATCATGTTTGTCAAGGCGTCTCACAATCGCCTTCGCGATTTCGTTGACTCGGAGCACTCGGTTCGTTGAGCAGCGAAAGATTGCTGTAATTTTGGGACTACAGTACATGAACAGGTATCCGTACTAGAGGATATAGTACTAGAACGTAAGTGCCATTAAGAGACGTCAATACGCGTGAATGAGGGCAAGTATGAATAACACTGATGACGATGCACGATGCAGATGCAAGGCATTACATAACTCATGACGATGAGAGCGATGAACGAAGCTCACGCTTTCTAACATTACACGCGAGGACATTGCCACATATCCTCGCAAACTGACCCATGGAGGAAAGGCGCTTAGACCTTCTCGACCTCGTCGTGGTGCTCGGCCTCCTGCTTGATGTCCGAGACGTGCACGTCCTGAGCGATGATCTCCTCGCGGTAGCGCACGGACGTGATGGGCGTCGAGTTCTGGTAGAGAAGGTCGACCTGCTCGAGCGACAGGCCCTTGGTCTCGGGGATGCAGAAGTAGGTGAAGATCACGCAGCCCGCACACGTCGAGCCCCAGATGAAGAACACCTTGACACCGAGGTCGGCGTTGCCGGGGCCGCTGTTGACGAGGTAAGGCGTGGCGTAGCCGATGCCGAAATTCCAGAGCCAGTTCGACGCGGCGGAGAGCGACATCGCCTTGGCGCGGATGTTGAGCGGGAAGATCTCGCCGCAGATGACCCAGGCGATGGGGCCCCATGTGGAGGCGAAGGCGGCGATGTAGATGCAGACGAGCGCGATGAGCGCCTGCTGGCCGGACTGGTTTTCGACGGAGATGGTGACGCCGACGATCGCGACGATAAACTCGCAGATGCACATGACGACGGCACCATAGAGGAGGAGGGAGCGGCGACCGAACCTCTCGATGCCCCACATACCCGGCAGGGTCATGAAGCAGTTGACGATGTTGGTCGCGACCGAGATCAGGAAGGGGTTCTTGATGCCGGAGTTCTGGAAGAAGGTCGTGCCATCTGTGAACATCGATCAGTGAAAGAGTCCGTGCGATACCACAAAGTATCTCAAACTCACAGTAGAAGATGAAGTTGATGCCAGTGAGCTGCTGCCACGCTTGGATAAGGATACCAGACATGGTACGGAGGAAGATCTTGTTGTCCGAGAACCTGAAGCAGTCGATGTACGTGCTGTCGCCGAGCTTCTGTTCTTCAGCAAGGGCAGCGCGGATGTCGTTCAGCTCCGTCTCGACCTCTGGGTCGTCAGGAGGGAGCGACGTGAGGCGAGAGAGGGCACGAGCAGCAGCCTCGTCCCTACCCTTTTTGATAAGCCAACGGGGCGACTCGGGGAGGTAGAACATGCCGAGGGTGAGGATGAAGGCCCAAATGAATTGGATGGAGATGGGGATCTGCCACGCAGAGTGGTTTGGGCGGTTCTTGGTCGCGTTGTTGATGACGGAGGCAAGCAGGAGACCGATAGTGATCGCCCATTGGTAACCGGCAACAACAGCACCACGGATCCACTTGGGCGAACACTCGGACTGGTACATGGGGATGAGGGTGGAGACCAAACCGACACCTCCGCCGGCGAAGACACGGCCGACTACGAATGTGGCGAGATTGTTGGAACCGGTCTGGAGGGCAACGCCAAGGGAGAAGACCAAGCAGGAGACCATGATACCAATCCGACGACCCAGGATATCGGCCACTGGGGCACCGAGAAGGGCACCTGAAAAAGTCATGTCAGCGCTCGTGGAAGAAGTGAAGGATAGCAGGAACGGCTCACCAAAGAAGGTCCCAGCAGAGAGGATGGAGACTACCAGCGACTCGCGCGACGAGGGCAGGTAGTAACCGAGAGGGTAGGTGGTAGTGTCGGTGGTGTGGACGCCGAACTTGCGGAGCCAGTCGGGCATCTGTTTGATACCAGCGATCGTACCGGTGTCGTAACCGAAGAGGATACCACCGAAGGCGGCGAAGGCGGTCATGGCGATGCCCGCCAACTTGTTCTTGGAGCCGGAGGCATTGATGCCCCCGCCTGCAGCTACCGGACCACCTGGCATTGTGATTGAAGACGCGTTAGGGTGTGGGGAAGAGAACGCGTTAGCAGGTGGAACGAGGAGAGTGGGGAAGAACGACCACGGGGAAACGGGGGGCGCGACACGACCATTTTATAGGCAAATCGAGAGTGATCCAGTTGGGAAGGAGAACAGGAGCCCTCGTCCAACGAGGAACGAGGATCCATGCGGATCCCGCCTCCCTGCATCAGCGAGATCTAGTTTGCCGGTAGGCGAGCGCCTACGAGCGCTCAGGCAGTTCTCTGCCTGTTTCCTTGCCCGTAAATTTTTTGTCTGTTTCCTGTTCTGCCGTCCGGCGCAGCGTCAATCTACCCCACAAAGCCTGCAACTGTTCGTGGGGATCCTCCTCTTCCCCCGCACGCCCCAGTCTGGGGGCGAGGATGCCCCGCCCGCTCGCCTACCCGCGTCAGATAGGACGGTGTTCCCATCTGGAGAGAGCGATCAGCAAGGTCAGCGTCGGATTGGTACCGCGACCCGGTCAGGCTTACCGCGCTAGTAGTACTATACTGGGAAGGATGATCGGGGCTCTGGCGACTGCGTTTCATGGACCAAGTCCTGCTGCCATAATCCTCTCACATGATACTCTTCCTGAGTGTGTGCCTGTCTGCGCTCCTTTTCCTGCGCCGTGATTGGTAGCCAGTGGGTAAGCTCTGGTAAGCTGGCAGCGCCCAGGGTGCGACTCCGACGACGCCCAAAGTCGTCGAGGGGCACTGGCACTGTGGGGACTCGGAAACCGGCTGTCGGAACGAGTGGCTGGGCAAAATGAGAGGCCGAGTCGACGTTTGTTGCAAAAGGTTTACACCTGTTCACATTCGATTGGAGAAGATTCAGCATGTTTCCATTGCCACCGTTGAGGCCAAATGGGGACTGCGGAAATGGACATTCGCACCGTTCGCCTGCCGAACGTCGGATGTTAGATATCTCTTTCGTTCCAGATGGGTGGAGGCGTGTCCAAGAGGGATAAGTAGAAGAGGATGGAGGACTAGGAGGGGGAGCACGCGTCGCCCCCGAGGAGCGTGAGAACGGTACTGGACCGACTGATGCCGGCCAATCGATATCCCTGCAAGTATGTACATACTCTATCCATAATGCAACGACGATCTACGGTGTTCTCTCCGTCATATCTCCGCAAGCTTCGACTGCAACCTGAGCGATGTGCGCCATCTGTTTTCCAGCAGCCTCTCTCCGAGTCGACGTCAGCGAACTTCTAGCACAGGCGTCCAGGACGCCCGGGTCGGACACGATGATAGCGTGAAGCGGGCTGTACTGTCGACAAGGCGAATGGCTGTATGCAGCACGGAAGAGCTCCGCCCCGAAGTCCTCTCCGCGCTGTCTTGACCAAGTCGAGATCCGTGCGTCCGAGGAGTCCAGATGTCCTGTGCCTTGACAGTCTGGATGTTTGGTAAGAGAACCAACGTCCGTGATTAATGTCGGCGAAATGATGGGAAAGCAAGCGATGCTCTCTCCTGGCTCTCCGCACACGCGCCCTTCGAACTTCTCCTCTTGGAGGCCTCGCACTACAGCGCCCGCCGGAACCGTACGATCGCCCTCGTGCAAGTTCTCCCATCCTACTGCCTTCCTCAGTTTTCACATACAATCTCTCGGTCTTTGTTAGACGTAACTCCTGAGGCACCAGCCAAATAACTCACGTGGATCCCCCCAACTCCATACGCTAGGTTGACAAGTCGTTGATGCCGCGTCATTGTGCTATCACTTACATATCTCGAGCGGATCCACGCATCATTCGAAGACTCGTAGCTTCCGATCTCTAACATCGCCCACGAAGTCTTGACAACTCGACTGACACCCTCCGGCTCACGCCACCACCAAGCCTCCACACAACGTTGCGACGTTGCACGGATACTTACCTTCATTTTCGTTCCCCTCCACAACACTGCATTATGTGGTCCCTTTGCAATATTGCCCCCACGTGCAGCACAGGCTGAACCGTAACCATTCATGCCATTCCTTGCTTGCGCAGCATCTGTCCACAAGGTGCACGCTCTCCTGCGGTCAATTCTGTACGTGTGTCTCGGCCTTTTTGAAAAACCTTTCCCTGAAGACACCTAGCCACGAGATGGGATTGATGTTCGCTGAGGCAGCGATCACGGCAGCCGCGTTGTGAGCGGGGCATCAATTCCCCCGTATCGTCGCGCGACTTGATGCCCCGCTCGAGAAACCCCTTGCGGAGAACCGAAGTCAAACACGACGTCAGGAGAGACTGCTATGTTTCTCATCTTTGCAGATCCCAGCCCAGACTATAGAGGCAGCTATCTAACCCACTCGGTACTGCCGCCGGAACGCGTACGCTCTTACGGCATAATCACGCTGCTGTGTACGCTCGCGCAAAAGTCGGTGGGCCTGCGGGGTTTGCAGGTGAGTTCTCGATAAGCACAATCTCGGGCGTCGAGCGGTAGATGACTGAGATATGCATGTCCTCCGCTGTGATAGAAGTTCTTCTCGGGCTGAAAGCGCCTAAACTCCACGATCGTCGCGGCGCAGACCCATCCCGCGCCGCACAAGACATCTTAGCTACATACTAATAGCTTACGTCTTTACACCCCTGCGGCACTTCACCATGTCGTCACCGTAGATCATCAGTTTCCTTCCATCTGTGCAATCGCAGTCTCCATTCATTCGGATGCAATCATCTCTACTGTACAGCACTCAACACCGATGAAAACTTGCCCCAAGCCGTCAAATCAGGAAGATCTCCCCCCCCCTCCTCCGGGAAAGGGCCTCACGCGACAGGCACCAGCCACGGCAGCAACCAGCCAACTTCCGCGACGTGAGACGGACATCTATATCATCGAGTGCTGGAGATGGAGCTCCATCATAGTCGGTGAGCACGCTGGAATTGAATGCTTCCCGGCGGCCCTCACGGTTTTGCTCCCTCGGCCCCTCCGTCGCCCATGGCCTCGTTTCCAACTCACTCGCCACAAGCAAGGCTCCGTCGATGAGCCGCGCCACACATCGGCGCATTGAACCACTGTGTCTAGACCTCGGGACCGATTCACGTTGGTGATGGTATAAAATACAGCAGTCAAATTCGAACAGTTAGGTCCGGCCCAGCGAATCACGATCGAGCTCGCTCTCGTACTACCGATCGCCTGAGGCACCCGCGCGTCGCAGTGACGACCGATGCTCCTCTCCGATACCGATCGTCCGTTTCAACTTTGTGGCGTCGTGTAGACACTGCCGTTGACAGGCTCTCGAAGGCTACCGTGCATGTACCATGCGGGTCGACCAAATAGCAGAGAAATTTCGGGATGCTTCACCTGAACACATGAGTTGGACTAGCTCTAGCCGACCATAGGTCAACACCCAATCGTATCTCAGGAAAATGCGGGGAAGAGCCACTACCGATCAGTCTCCTGTCAACACTCCCGCGTTTGATCAGTCCGCAAAGGGTTCGTTGTGTGCCTCTCGCAGCGGCAGCATGTGTCTAATTCTCTCGAACTGCCGGAGGGGACACGAATCAGAGTAGGGTGCGGGCAACAAATCCGAATTGTTAACACGTGGATTATCAACAAGTTAATAACCTGTTAATAAACAATTAGAAAGTACGAGTCTGGATAGCCATGTCAAGAATTGTTCAAAACTAGGACCCATTTGAGCGTCCTTTTGACTCTAATAACAACAATAGACCGCATTCATTGTGTTTACTGTAGGCCAGAGTAGTGCTTCTGTGAACTGCAAGCTTGGTGCCTCTAATTTATGCAGGCCGCTGGCCAAAGCCGCCAGTAAGCTTGGTCTGATTAAGATCTCGAAGGGAGAGTGGGACTCGTCGCCACACAGCTCATTGATGTCATGCCTTGTCAAATGAACAGTAATTGCAATGGCGAGGTGTCTCGGAGTTCTAGGGACCCTGTCGGTCGACTGAGATGTTTATTACTCGGGTCAACAACTTGTGAACTTGGTTTAGCGCCCCGTTGATCAACCGTAAATAACACGTGTTAACAAGAGGTCCAAGAGGGCGTCCGTTAATAACGGTTCGTTATAAACCCTTTTCATTGTTGACCGCACCCTAAATCAGAGCATGATGAATGCGTCTCGTGCGACTTTCGTGCTAGAATGCCCGCAAGTGGGTGGCCCCTGTCAACTCCACCGCTACGCATGTCAGATTGTTGGACCGGCCGCGCTGTCCCTTGGGGGAGGTACTCACTGCCCGGTCGACGCGGACAGAATCACTCATCATGTACGAGTACTTACAGCATCTAGGTTGCGTTAGTCTCGGACGGGATATGCTACTCGTTGTTTTGATATTCGTGTCCCCTAATCCGCGGATAGAGAGCCACCGGGAGCAGTAGGGTCAGTGGTCAGCTCGTCTTCCTGCCGTCCGAGATGCTGAGCATGAACTTCGTGTGAGACTTACAAGGCGTGACTGTCGGTAAACTCAATGACCCCTCTAGTGTCTACGTGACACACGGACAGCTGCATCGGGCGAGATCGCGAATCGTTATGTTGGTAGGCGATGCGATGGCACTTGAATGCAAATCATAACGCTACATAGTTCTCGAGCAGGTTTTCTGATGTGTTAGACTCGGTGTTAGCCTAGGTGGAACCCACAAGTCCGTCATGTGATCATCAGCATGTCGAAGCCACATGTGTCCCAACCTATCGCATCGTTTCCCCCTGAATGAAGGGAACTTACTGACATGTCCTCCAGATCCTGTATAAGCTTTCGCAAGCCTCGTGCACTCCGACCCACACAAGACAATGCATATTGCTCTGTAGTCTCGTGACCAGACGTTCGGAGCTTTGAGCGGAAATGAAAAAACCGGGACTTTCCGCGCTCCTGAACGTCTGGTGGATCCACCCCCGTGACTCCCCGCTCGGTGACCTGTGTGACTTTCCTGCCTCTCTCCCGACGTGTCCGAGCTGTCTTGTCGCGCGCGCCTGCCTGCTTATCTCGCGACGTCTTTGAGCTGCGCCGAGCCTACCGTCTGCTCGACGTAGATACTCCCGTAACCGGTACATCTCTCTGACTCTCGCGAGCAGTTGCTATATGTCCCCCATACTCAATTTGTCTGTTATCCTCTGTCTCTCGTATGGGCAGACAGAGGAACTCTTTTAGTGCGCGCCTATGGACCCTCGCGGACCCGAGGCAGAACCCGATGAGCTCCACAATGGATGGGGAGCTCTTTTCAAAGACGAGGAGGAGGACGAAGACTACGCTCCGT